AATTGTAATTTTCACTTCTTCTGCAGTTCAAATCACTCACTTTATTCCAAAATAAGGCAGGGAACAAATCTGTAGAGAAACTATGAAAAAGGGCCGGAGGGATCCCTTGTTAAATTAATTGTAATTTCCAATGCTTTTTTAAATTGAGCTGAAATCCAAAAATGCAAAACTATTTTTATTGTGTCCAAAGACAATTTTTCCCGTGACAATTCGTCCAGGGTTTTGTTGCTTATGGGAAACTATTTGGACAATGGAACACTTAACAACTTTCGAACAAGCTCAGGTAATTGCGAAATATCAGGTTTTAAAAATTGTTGTTTGGAGAGCCATCTAGTGTACAAAGGTGGAAAACATTGCGTAAACGTCGTACAATAAAACTTGGATGTAAAGTCATGGAAGGCCATAATACCGACAGGTTCTTCAAAAATGGAATACTGTACTTATTTGATGTATTCTTAATTGGTTTAAAATGTTCTATTTTGATATTTTTTTAATTGTTACAAATGACAGTTAAAATTCTTGTGAGTCAACATACAGTATCTACAGACCTATCTACAGTAAATTCACCAGGCACCCAGAAGACCTACAGGAACCGTTTCTTTACTTCAATATTTTCTTCAATGCAAAATAATAATTCAGCCGATAGAAGATTCAGTCTGTAGAACCACTTTTGAGCTCCTCAATGATTAACAGAAAATGTATGAAAACGCTCAATTTAAACAACCTTCTGAAGCGTGACATCATTAACATTAAAATGTTGTCTATCAGAATCCCTGCAAGTTTATATATAAAATCCTATAACCCTTGCTTTTCCTAGAAAACACATTAGGGATGCAGTGTAAACGCAAATGATGATTTTTTTAAAAGGCTTAATTCTTATAAATTTAAAAAAAACCACTAAAATGTAAGCATCGTTTCCCTACTACGCGTAGAGTTGATACTTGATTTTTAATTCCTTCTCACTTGGATTGGCTGGACACCTTACACGTGTTCGGGTCCGTGGTCTTTAAATGTGTCCTCTGGTTCCCACTCATCAGAAATCTTTCAGACAGTTGTGAAGAAGGCGCAAGAAGTTGTAAGAGGAGCGAGAAGAGGGGAGCCCGAACAATGAAACCTTTCTTCAGCGGGCTTGTCTGCTGCATCTCGGTGCTGGCGTTTCAGGTGCACGGGACCAATTACGGGTTTTACGGGTACGAACCGCAGAGGATTTCCCCCTTGAGGTTTGCGGACAGACCTGTTGTTAGAAAACCTTTTCCCCACAACATCCAGGGAGCTCAGAATACAGTAAATATTGCAGGTAGGTTGATGATCTGCGTTTCGCGGCGACTTGTAGAGTTCTTTAACAGCCTTTAGTTGACCCATATTCTGAGTAAGAATCTTCTATGGTAGATTTCAGGAAACACTTTGCTGTCAAATGCGCTATAAAAATGTGTCCGCTGCAGCCGCTGTTTAATAAAATACAGTAGTTATTCTCACCCACTACTTCCAAGTTTAAGAGTGAAACTTAATCAGGATAGTTCTATTTTCAATCATTCAGTAAATGATGATAAGACACTCATCTGTAGACATTTTTCTATACATATAGAAGCACAGATGGCCAGTATAACTAACATAAACCGAATGTTCAAATAAATACATTTATTTGTCCAAAATAAAGCAAAACAAGGATTAAACTATTGTATTCATTTCGATACCAGTGTCCCATTTGTTTGAATTCGAAGTAAAACGCCAAAGGATTTATTTTTTTATAAGACCACCCGTTGGCTGTCTCTTTTTTTAAATCCATCAATTCACAATTTCACTTTTATTCCGATTACTTAGAAAATGCTGGGTTAAATCTAAACTCGTTCAGCGCAAATCTGATACACCCCTGATTTACTTGGCTCCATTTAGTTATACCGTGTAAAAATGTATGCTCCCAGGTGTGGGTTTGCGGTTTGTTTTACCAATAATTTTGAGCCCTTTATAGGATGACCTAAAGGCTTCTATGAAATTCGGCTTTGTTCTAAAAATCTAGTTATTTTTGTAGGAGATGCTTAATCTCCTTTAAGCTTCCATCTGGATCATTTTAAACCAAACTAAACACTTACCTGAAGAAGGCTTCACAGCCGAAACGCTGTTTTTTTTTCTTTTCAGCATGGAACAAACCCGTTACCTGTTCGTTTGCAGCCTACGCACGCTGACGCAGCTACTGTACCTACTTGAACTACTAAATTATTGGCCTATTTGAAGTTTAAATCGTGATCGGAAAGTGCCGCCCTGCATTGCAGCCAAAGACGCTGTCCAATAAAGCAAACTGATTTTCTATGACACGCTTACACAATTCACCTTTGAGAAGTACACTTGTCTTTTTGCAGCCGTCCACGTTTCCCTGTCAAGAAAAGCGCTCATGGTCTCACGGAGCGCACTCACTGTGGGAGTGTGATAACTCGTATTGCAGCGCTTGCAGAGTTGCTTGGTCTGAAGCACCTCCACTAGTTTAAATATACCTAGGTGTACCCCCAAACAAATTTCACCAGGAGCATGGGATGGCAGCTGCTTCATGACACTTTGGAAGCATTGCATCACTGTCATAAAAACATTACCACAGGACGTGGCCTGGTGAGTCATGGGTTGGGGAATTTTAGGGGGATTTGTTTTTTTTGGCCCGGCGGTTGGGGTTTTTTCCCTTCGGCCGGGTTTTCTTTTGCATTGTTCTTTTTAAGTTGTCCTTGCCCTTTTTGTTTTGGGGGTTGTTTTCTTCAGGGTAACGGTAAATTGAGATCCTGACTATTTGGTCATTAAGGATCCCATGGCTGTTTGTAAGAATAGGTGTTTTAATTTTTGAGTCCTTGCAAAATTAAGACCTAAGTTTGTGCAATCTGCCCTTTGTGCAATCTGGCAATCTGGAAACTCACTTCCTTGAGCTGATAAAGCAATTTCTCACTTGTCTATTTGATCTGCTGCTAGTGCATTATGGTAGCCAAATGTCTATCTACTGTACCTGCTGTGTGCAGTGAGCTTCTTTTTTTTTTTTACATGTTGTGAGTTCAAAAATTCCTGTACACTCTACAATCTGATATTTGGCCTTGCCCATCAATTTAACAAATTTTTCCCAACTATGGAACATTCTCAGATTAGAACATTAACTTCACCAGAGTCTTTCAATAGTCAACCATATTTTCATTTGTTTCGTGTTCATGGGAAGGGTGAACAATTCCTGAAAGAAAAGGTTGCATTACCAAATAAAGCAAGTGTTGAATATGAATATCTAAAAATGTGGTCACATGAGAATTTATAGAAATGAAATGGGGAAATAAGGGGTTCCCAATTACTCATTGTGATTAAATTTAGGTGTTACTTGCTGTTTACTTGGCTCTTCTTGTTGCACATAAATATTTACTTCCAGTTTGACCTCAAATCTTGATTACAAATATGGTGGGCTTGAAAGTTGTTGCTAATCTAGAGATTGACAAAGGTGCAGGTGTTCTTCTAATTTTTACTTGCTATATTTAAACAAAGTAAATATTTTTATATTGCTTTGCACTCTTGTTCGTACATAAACATTTCTTGTATTCTGAGGTAAACAAGCTAGGATAGGGTCAATTTCCAGAGAATGCAACACCCAGCCTTGATTCATTGTCTTCTAAATGTACTGTATTGAATTCAAAAGGGATGCAAGGAGGTAAATGTTTAGAAACTTGTTTAGCTAAGTAATTTGACAGGAAAATAAAACATTCAACATTTTCGGCCTGGGTTAAAGCATCTAATACAATTAAAGGTGTATATAGATACTGTAGTACTAAAGCTGCACTTGACTAGTGATAAACTGATATACAAAACAGGACGTACAACATAAAAAAATATGATGCTTAGCACAAATGTATCACGGTTTTCACAAAGTTAAGTGTATGTGACCACAGGATAAATCAGTCCCATGCTGTGTATAGGGAGAAAAGGGCTTCAGGTTTAAAATGCTTAAACATTACCCGTGTTAATCCAGCAAAGCTCATTTATGCTTCTACTAATAAGGGAACAATTTCTCAAATGATTATTCCCATTCAGGTACCAGCCTACTAACCAATACTCTACTGCTTCTCCCCTTGGTGACCCAAGTACATGGCAGTAATTACAGGTTTCATGGCTATTACTATCACCTGCCACCGAGGATAGCGCCACCGGTCACTTACCCCAGGCCCACCGCCCGACCAGAGCAGCCGGTCAGTACCCACAATGGCCACAGCTCCGTCCGTGCTGACACAGGTAGAACACTCCCAAACGAAGCGCTTTATGAGCCGCATGGGCTTTGTTTGCATGAGCCGCTGGTGGCCGGAGCCTCGGTCTACCCCCTGTGTTTTCACAGCCTCTTTTCACTGCTGCTTTGTTTTCTGTACAAGTGAAAAAAGCAGAATAGGGTTCATACTAATCCCAGGCATCTGTGGAAAGGACTAAACTACTAAATAAAGTCTGGAATGCTTTTTTTTTTCTTCTACTGAATGAAGACTTTCCCTTCCTCACTTTTTAATTTTCCTTTTCCTAACTTGGCATTTGTCTGCCATTTTTTAACAATTTATTACTGAAAGTCATGTTTACAGTGTTATGATTTTAAGAATATTGTGATACATCCTTCCTCACTTTGAATGTGTGAAATGACAATCCTTCCGCATAAGTTAAATCAAAGTAAAAAATCTTGTTATAAACCTTTTTTTTTCTGCCTTGCCTCAATCTTTATTTTCTTGATTGATATACCAAATTTTGAACTGTTTAACACTACAGGTTTGCAAAATTATACTGCAATTTAACTTGTTTTTAAATTCAAGCTGAACACAAATGAAACCCAATTAATAAGTGTTTCTAAAATAAAAAAGTTCAGTCACGATATCAACATGGTACAAGGAAATGTGAGAAGCAGTCATGTACAGTACAAGTGTGGACATTCATCCTGGCATGAAAGACCTGGTACCTAAACAAACTGTGTAAGTCCACAAATAATATACAAACAGGAATAGATGAGTAGAAAAGGAAACCAGAGATTTGGAAGAGATAAGAAAAGAGGCAGGGGGGAAGGTAGTGAAAGGCCAGAAGAGGGAAGCCACAGTCTTCAAGGTCTTTCATATGGCTGGGTCAAGCTGCAAGCTTTTAAAAAGGTTTAAAAAGGGCTCCCAGGTAGAATTAAAATTTTGCCACCGAGGGAAAACCTGATTTTTTTTTTTTCCCCAAGGTGGAGAAAGTACATCATATCCTTTACCGTGTGGGTGCAACCAGATATTTTCAATGGAGCTTCTATCGTCTTTCAAAATGGAGAGAGAGTCAAAAACCATGTGCGTTCGTGTGCCCTGAAGTGTTACAGTGTTCTGTAAGCAAACTGCATTGTGTCTCTAATGTAGCCACAACCTCTCCCTTCAGTCCCTCTGTGTCTTCTCCGTTTTCCCCCCGTGCCCACAGTTCATGGTGTGTGAAGAGTACCAGTCCCAGGTGTTTGCTATATCTGATGCATTCGGAGATTTCAAACAATTGGTGCCCATTCTTAAAGTTAAAGGGACTGATAATCATCAGCAAGACTGTTGAAGACTCCAGGAAAAAAGCAAAGGTGTGGCCAGAAAAGCTGCTAGGCATCATAGAGGGTGACCATATAGTCTGTGTTCACCAGATCATTGTGAAACAGGACAGGATTTAAGATGCCATTAAGTTGAAAGACCTCTGTATGCTCAGCATTATGCCTATGTGGAGGTGAAAACTGGTGCTCAATGCCCATGCGCGGGAAATGAGCAGGTGTTCACTATAAAAGCTAACTTGAAATGATTCTTCTAAACAAGTCCGTAACATTGTTCAGCTGTTTACCTGAGGAAATTGAAGTAATATTGAATTCTCCCATGACAACAGATCTGGCCTCCTGATATAGTGGAGTTCACTGTTGGGAAGTGGTGCTGTATAAGCCCTGAAGCTAGAAGTGTCTGTGAACTGCCAAGTTAAATCCCAGCAAGAGCAGAACTACACCTCTGACAATCTTTGGAACGACAAGGCACGAGAGTGGATAGGCAATGTAATTGTAATGCCATCCATTTGTTTAATACTGTGACTCTGGAACATACAGTAAGAGGCCAGGCTGTCACGTAAGGTGATGTTCACGGTGGTAGCGCTGGTCAAAAGCCTGAAAATCTGCACCCGTTTTTAAATCCTTAGAATGGGGAAATGCATATCTTAAAGTGAGAAGTGTTCTTTTCTTGATCTACTAATACAATAATGCACTATAACGACGGGTTGATTAAGAACCCACGTGTATCATTACCTATTGACTGATTTTCAAAGTATTGTAAAGTACATACATGATGCATCTTGAGTTTGAAACAAGGGCAATGTTACAGCTTTTGAACTGACTGTGTAAAGGGAGAAAGAGCATGTCGACTATTATATAGATGTAATAAATGCCCTTTTTTATTGATCAGTAACTCATCACAGTACATTTTTCTTAAGTAGCAATTTACTGACCAGTAAATGAATACGTTTCATTTCATTTGCTTGTGTAAAACAAGAGTTACAGCTGGTGCACGTGAAACGGCACGAAGACATGCGATGCTGGTATAATGTGGTACTGTATAAGCCCTGCTCAGATTGATAGTTGCCTTTCAAGTGCCATTTTCTTCATCTCATTTCCCTTTAAATTTCAGACATGATCATTTGTCAGAATTGAGACAGGTGTAGAGGTGGACCTGCAGTCTTATGTATTCTTAAAGTATTATTAACCTGTGTTATGCATATTGTTATATTAGCACATACTTCAGTAAACGTAAAAAATGTCCTAGTTTATAATACAAGAATGAAATGATAAACTAGTTTTCAGTGTTGTAGAAATGTAAGCAAATCAAATAGCCAAAGAGTAAATTCCAGACTTTCTGAAACAGTTGATGCCATCATCTTTGTCTAGATACTTCCCACCTTCTTGAAGGTGTCCATCTTCATCTTATGTGCATATTGTTATTAACAAATTAAATTTAAATTTAAGGGGGAAAAGGGGTTTTACTAAACTCTTCCAGCCTCTGCTTTCAGGAACAATGTTTTTCAAGGCAACACAGTGTATTTTAACACTGTTAAACTGGATTTAGCAGGCTGTCCACAGGAGTGTCAGGTAAAATGAAACCCTGAGGTCTGAGTGCCAGCAAATGAAAACAAAAAGGAAAATTGGAGCAATTAGTGAGTTCTTGGAACTATTTGCTAATTGAAAAGATCCCTTTAAAAGCTGCATCTCTGGGATAAGACGCACTGAGCAGCTTTCTGAACCACAAGGTGTGACTTTCTCTGTGAGAGTTGCTCACCATTATTAAAAATTAAGCAGAGACCTCAAAAGAGAATTGCACAGTTTTGTTTTTAGGAAATTAATCAGGGGGAAAAAATAAAAGGTACAGTAAATGCACATAAGCTGTTCTCTTTTGTGTGTTATGTGAACACCAGGGACACAGTGCAAAAGCCGGCCTTTGGACCTGGTCTTCATAATAGACAGCTCCCGTAGCGTGCGCCCAGGGGAATTCGAGAAGGTCAAGATATTTTTGTCAGATATGGTCGACACGTTGGACATTGGCCAGGACGCCACCAGAGTGGCCGTCGTCAACTACGCCAGCACTGTGAACATCGAGTTCCTCCTCAAGACCCACTTCAACAAGGTGGACATGAAGCAGGCGGTGTCGCGCATTGAGCCCCTGTCCACGGGCACCATGTCGGGTCTGGCTATCAAGATGGCCATGACCCAGGTGTTCACGGAGCCAGCGGGAGCTAGGATGCGTTCCCAGAACATCCCCAAGGTCGCCATCATCGTGACGGATGGGCGACCCCAGGACAAGGTGGAGGAGGTGTCGGCCCAGGCCAGGGGTGCCGGGATCGAGATCTATGCTGTTGGGGTGGACAGGGCCGACATGCAGTCTCTCCAGCAGATGGCAAGCGCTCCCCTGGATGACCATGTTTTCTACGTGGAGACATATGGTGTGATAGAAAAACTCACATCGAAATTCCGGGAGACCCTGTGTGGTAAGACTACTGCAACTGCTTTTATCAGAACTACTTGATTAGTTTACTGTGATCTTACCAGAGGAACAATTATTACTGGTCGGCATGGTTAGCATTCCTACCTTGCAGTACTGGGGCCTGGGTCCAGCTCCTGGGGTGCCATCTTTGTGGAGTTTATGTTCTTCTCCCGTTTGTGTGGGTTTCCCCTCACAGTCCAAACACATACTGGTAGGTTAATTGGCATCTGGGAAAGTTAGCCCTAGGTGAAAGTGTCTGTGTGTGCCCTGTGATGGACTGGCATCTTGCCCAGGGTGTATCCTGCCTTGCACCCATTGCTTGCCAGGATAGGCTCTGGCTCCCCTGCAACACCGTATTGGACAAAGCAGCTAGAAAATGGATGGGATATTATTTATTATTATTGAAAAGTTTTAAATGAGTACACCTTTAAGATGGAACTTGTCAAATAGATACTACCTGTATTCTATTTCTATTCTTAATTGGCCATCCTGGGCATAACACTGGTCGTAATTAAATATTTTTGTTTTTAGAGGACATATTGTGTCATTTTAACTTAAACAGATGTACAATACAAAGAATTTAAATGAAAGTTTTGGAGGCAGCTTTCTCATGTCTGATACAATACGATGCTGTTGTGGGTTTTTTTACATTCATAAAAATGTGGGTTTTTAAATGTAATTTTCAATGCATCTGATTTCTTTCATAGAATCCAATGTTACTTTGTAGTACCAACACATACAGTACACATGTCTGCATGATGAGTTTATTAGCAGTGGAAAATGTTATTTATTATTTCACATCTTATTTATTATACTGTTTATTAACATGAATAGTGTATTACAATATTTATGTGTATTATTACAATTACCCAGAGGTTTTATTTTTTATGGTAATTTTGGCATAGCGGAGACATTAAATATGCATGCTTTCTGAATTTTCTCATTGAGAGTGCTTTAAAAAAAACTGATGCTGACTGACATATCTATAGTAGAAGCTATTTCAATGCCAAAATACCCCCCAACATGATGCATTTATTTCCTTGTTGGTTTATAGGTTTTGTTCCAATCATAAAAATTAACTATAAGGCCAGATTTATTATGCACATTCCCTAATCAAATAACTAAGAGCAACAGTAACAGGACTCTGAGTTTCATTGATCAATCATTTTAATACATGGATATACAGTATCTAAATGGGATTAGATTCTTAATTGACTGAGAAACATCTTAAGTCATTTAAAAATCAAGTTAAGCATATGAAATTAATTTAGCTTGCTTCAAAATGCTTTTCATTAACACATCAGTTGGGGGGGGGAAAACGCTCTAAAAATGCTCGTTACAGGTGTGGACCCATGTACCCTTGGAAACCATGGCTGTGAGCATATATGTGTGACCACTGCAACGTCCTATTACTGCAAGTGTCATGATGGATTCCTCTTGAAGGAGGACAAGAAGACTTGTGCAAGTAAGAGCTCACCTGGGAGAGGAGGGCCGAACTACAGGGAAGGGGAAATTAGGGGAAAGAAAATATGACTTAATGAACAAAAATGAGAAAAATACAAATAGTCGGAACCTAAATATGTGAAGCAGGTTTTTCAGGAGAGTTTTATCAAAAAAGCATAGTTATCTTACTATGCAATCCCATATAATTGATGCTCAAATCTGAGAAAGCACTTCAAGAATGTATTTTCACTTAATCTGTTTTTGAATGGCTTTTGAGGAAGGAATGAATGTATTTTGTATGTGTGGGAACCTCAGGAATATTATACAGATTGTATCATTACAATCCTGAGAATAGATGCCTTTAGGAAAGAATTGAATAAGGGTGTAAGAATCCATAAATATATAGAGCAGTTACTGTTCATACAAATATAGTTTTAACTTGAAGGAATATAATTTCTATAGGTGTTTAAAATAGAATTATACATTCTGTTTTGGGGGTGATTTTTCTTCCAACCTAGCATAAGCCCTGGAACCAGATAGGCAAGGAGATTCCTAAAGAAAAAAAAGTAAATTGTGATTTGCTTCTTGCAGGAGCCTCCCAGACATTCACTCTGTTTGATTTTCACAGAGTCTGCTCTTTTACTCAGACTGTTCAGAGACTTTACTCATTTGCTCAGATCTTTTACTTGGCCTTCCTGTATGACTTGACCTCCTTTTGGTAGAATACAGTATTAAGGAAATATTTAACTTACAGTTTAACAATGGAAATTAGACATTATTTTACACTTATTTAATTGTTTAATTATTAAATCTATTTTTTTCTGAAAGTTTTAAAGATTAACCCCAAATTATATCAAAGACGATCCTGTGTTACCAATGCTGTGTACACATATGGGTAGGCAGACACGTGCATAAGTATTTCACATGGAGTTCCGACTGTTACATAAAAGGTAGAATTCATGATTGAGTTTTATTTCACTGGCAATCTTAAACTGTTCCTTAATGAGTTTAAACTCAACATGCTGTTCCGTGCTAGGTTTTCTACTGGACCTTCTTAGACAGGATGGGCAAATTAATTTGAATAAGCAGAATAACTTCCCGTCTTGGTCTAGGAAGGAAAACTATCCTTTCTTTGTGAATCAAAGCTTTCACTGATTTGATGGTTTAAATAGTTGATCAGCATCATTGAGATTTTCCAGAAACAGGAAATTTAAAAAAAAGTGAAAATACACAATGTTCAAGACATTATCCAATTTAAAAACTAACAATACAGTAGAGTTATATTAACCTGGGCTATAGAAGGGGATTAAGAAGTCAGTTCTCTGTGCATTCTGATTGTTCTCACAATTAATTTCCTGACTTAACTTGTGCAATAACAATGCAATCATCTATGCAATGAACTGAAAATTATTATTCCCTTATGGTGAGAAAATCATAGAATTAAAATAAATTAATGGAAAAATGCAAAAAAACAAACTGGCACAGTGGTGCAGTGGTTAGCATTGCTACCTTGCAGTGCTGGGGCCCAGGGTTCAATTCCACAGGTGCTATCTGAGTAGAGTTTGTCTCTCCATGTTTGCAATGGCTTCCTCCTGGTGCTCTGATTTCCTCCCACAGTGTAAAGACATAATGCTAGGTTAATTGATTGATTTCTGTGATAACCTTTGGCATCTACTATGACCCTGTACTAGATAAAGCATTTAGAAAATGAATGAATGGCTGGATCATTGGTTCCTACAGTATGTGTTATGTGTGTCACTGAAACCACAGTAAGGGAGAAAAGAGAGTAAGGGAAAAAAGTGGAGTTTCTGTTGGGTTGCTTGATGTTGCACTCCAACTGCAGTCATTACTGAATAAACTGGGAAGTTGTGGGCTTTTCAACTATTGTCATATTGACAACTGAATGACAGCATGGAATCACCTTTTTCCTATGTCACAAAAGTAAACCTATGCCTTAATAAGACCTTCATACTGAGCCTTTCTTACCCTCTGGAGAAGCGGACCATTAATAGTAACAGTGTTTTCTGTGTGAAGCCCTTCAGGAACAAGATAAGTCCATGACAACACAATGAAAAAGCATCTTCAATCTGAAAATACAGCATTGTGGATTCCCAGAGTAGTGTAGAACTGAAAAGAAAATGTAGGATCCCATTTGTGAGAGCTTGGATGGTCTTTAAGAAGGCTTAATCGCATTGCATACCTATTCTGAAGACATCTTGAACAACTCCACCTATCTGAACTGGCCTTGGTCAGCATCTTTTGTAAGAAAAAAATATTTTAACTTCAGTGTTACAAAGGCATCAATGAATGGTGTGATTGGCAAAAAACTGCCATTTATCATAAGAAATTCAAATGTGAATCAAAATGCCCGTAATAGAGAAATTGCATCCTATAAAGCTAACCATTTACGATGAAGATTTTATGGAACACCAAAGAAAGCGGGATACAGTATGACCATAAAATGGAAATGTTGGAAAGTTTTAATATTTTGCATTATGAAACACCGATTCAGGCAATGTTTCTTGATTGTTACATCAAAGAGGTCCTGTACCAGAGCCTGCAAGTCCATTGAGAGAGTTGTCAATGCATCCAGTTGTGCTTGACACTTAGCTGAACCTGGGAAATTTGAGCTCATGTACCGTAGCAGCTGGTTAACTGCATTGTGGACTCTCCTCACTCTGGCACAATCAACATGGAGATCACCATGGGACATTAATAGAGTTAAAAAGCCATCAACAATGCACTCAGCTGAGTACAGTGCATGGGCAAATGCTCTGTGAGAGGGCTCACTCTTCAGCATGTTTCAGAGAAGAGTTTCACCATGATGTAAGGTGGAAAAGAAAGTTCCAGAAACCCAGGATCACATCTGTGAATGCACCAAGAAAGTCAAAGAGCAAGGTAATGGTTCTCAAATAATCAAATGTTTTCCAAAAAACAAAAATCTTAGTTTATATTGGGAGTTCCAGTGGCTCGGTATGTTGATGTCTTGGATTTAAATAATGATGTTAAGATTACAGAGACAATTCTTAATTTCTGTTTTCATAATAGTATAATAAAATCTTTGAGGACCAGTTTTCTTGCAATAATTTCGTTTGAAAGTACATATCGCAATGAAAGTAGTGGGTTTTGAAATGTATTTTTTTCTGTTGCAGAAAAAACACTGCGAGGAGAACAATCATCCTGTGTCACTTATTCACAGACACTCTGAGTCCCACAAGTAAACTTAACTTCTCAAAGTCCGACCTCCTTTACTTCCATAATATTTCATTTCCCTCTGTGAACTTCTCCATTTCTTTTATATCAGCTAACAACCTATTCTTGCCACATACCAGTCCCTTCTTCTTCACTGACATGAGTAAAATCCACCCTTCCTCAGCCCCTCTCATCCTCTCTGTTCTGTTGCTTCCATCAGACATCCTGGGGCCTCTCTCCAGGGCCTCTCCTTTCTCCACCTTCCACGGTGGGATGAACGACTCTCAGAAAACAGGACTCAGCTCGACTCCTCTGTTTAGACACCTGTGATATCTCGGCTCTCCACGACATCCTTCAACTCTTATTGATTTATTTTTACCTTGTTGTACCTTTGCCATTGTTATTTAAGTATGAATAATGTCAGTTTTCTTTATTTTATACTCTGCAATCGTGAACGTAGTCTTAAGTATGAAGATGGTGATGTCAAAAGGTTTTCTTAAGGGTTAATTTCACGTGATGAGTATAGTCCAGGTCTTAATATGCTAATTGAGGCCTTCTTACTCTATGAAATACCAAGCTCACACTTCTTGTCTCCAGCACCTTATCCATAAAACTAATTTTCCAGATTCAATTACAGGTTCTTTAAATGCTGATATTTAAAAAAAATGCATAAAGGCCACTTTTGTCACTATAGATTTATTGCATACTTTAGTTTATCTTTGGGTTCATTGAATCAATTTCCTGTGCTCTTTTTTTCTTTTTCTGTTTTATGTATTATATGTACAACAGGAAAAAAAACTCAAAACAAAAAAACTAGAAAATGTGTGTGTAAAGGAAAACAACATTGAGTTATGCAACATTAATATTCTCTTAAGATTACAAAAGTAGACCAAAATGCCCTTTTCCCTGAATATCGTAAAGATTAAAATGACTGCTTTTGCATTGGTACATATTTGTTCATCTTCAGTTTGCTAGTCTCACTTGCAGGTACTAAGCACTGTACACTGGGGGAGTGGGTAATGGCTGAAATAGCACTGAACTCTATGGAAGAGTACTTCTTTTACACTGCCATTAACACCATAGTGCAAAGCAATAGAGGGAGAGTTTTGCCACTGTGAGCAGGAGGGATACTGCTGCATAGCTGTGATTCTTTTATGCAGAACTTCACTGACCTTAAAAATAAAGACTGGAAATGGAAAAACATTTGTTTTGTGGTCTTGCTTTGCTGATGTGACAGAATGAAGATATAAACACACAAGGATAAACATTTGACTGCTGTATATAGCGTACAATATATTTATATAATCTATATTAGCTGAAGGGGCATATGTTAGATGGTGGTGTAGTGGTTAGCATTACTGCCTTGCAATTGGTCCTGGTTCCGGCTCCCCGTGACCCTAAATTGGATGAAGCAGAAAATGGATTGATAGATAATATATGAATACTTATACTATACAGTATGCAATGTACTCCAGTGAAATCTTTTTGTTGTATTATGCTTTTGAATGTTAAATCATAATGCTTATTAACCTTCTGGAAATACATAGAACTTATACAAGCTACAATGAAATGATGACCTTTATTCACCCTCATATAGTTCAGCCAAATTAAACTGATCACAACACTGTTTTCATTGCAATTGCATTTGCTTTTCTCTTTCCACTCAAGTTTATTTCTGCCATTGTTCTGTAATGTTTTAATGAGCCGAGTTAATGACACCATGCATGGACAGCAGCACTCTTACAGCGCTAATTGAGTTTCACATTACCAGATCAATGGAGAATGTTGGGAGGGGAGGGTAGTCAACTCTCTTTCAAAGTCTCTGCAACGTTAATGAGAATGTTTTGCCATTTCAGAGGAAGTAAAGGCAGCGGTGACAGCTGACCCATGCAAATGTGAGGCTCAGCTTGCGTTCCAGAGCGCAGTGCAATCCTCCATTCAGGCTCTGACCACCAGATATATCCTTTGGTTTCTGTATTATGATGATCCAGGTAAAGAATCTGGTTTATATACTGTATTTAAATAACATCCTTTTTAAGTGTTGGCTCTGCACTCACGGTAAGTTTCTTTTTTGGTAGATCTTTAATGCAACAATGTTGTAACATCTCATTACCAATCTGGTGGAGTGATATCAAATATAGATTAAGAAAGGTCAGAGAAAGGCATGTATTTCATACAGTATGTAGCAGCTCCTTGTAAGATATCAACTGTATTATAACTATTTTGAGAATTGACAGTTTAATATCACTGTATCGTAGGGCGGTGGATAAACATGCTTTTCTCAATACTCAATAAAATCTGCTACCAGTCCAAAAAAAAAGAATTTAAGTTTAGCATGTAATTTCAATCAATTTTAAAAAATATCAAGCCAGCATTTAAAAACAGCCTGCCTGAAAAGAATACATGTTTTAAAACTTGTTATATGAAACTTCCTTGACTGCTTTATACTAGATGAAGTCACAAAAAAGGTGCAACAATTTGAATACAAGCTGCGTGGCTACTAGGCTGTGAAGAGGAGTTACGTTTTTGAGGCTCTCCTGAGATCTCTGGGGAGATCGCTGACTCAACTCGCCCCGTCTGCACCGTCAAGTTTAGCCAACTCATATTTTAGTGGTCAGCCTATTGCTGTGTTGTGTTATGTTCTGTTAACTTTGTGAACGTGTTACAGTAAAGTATGTGCTACTCTCTAAAATGTTTTTTTATAGTGTCATCCAATTTTATCAACTGAAATATTATTTTAATGTCTTCCATTGCATAGTGTCACAGTCTAGCCCCATGTTGATTCTCTGTGTACACTGAAGGTGTATAGAAGTCCCATCCCCTCAATTACACAGTTGTACCTGACATTTACTGACGGGTCTACTTTTTTTCAAGTCAATGCATCACTAACAGATACATTTCACCTCCTGGATTTATGACACTGTAGTTTTTATTAATTTGTACAAAAGGATTAAAGTACCAGTGCTGTAATCTCCAAGTGGACTAGTCTTTATTTTAAATGAGTGTCAGCAGTGTACTTTTAAATAAAATGTATTCTATTTTGGATATCAGTAAAATGTATATGAGACAATAAATGATTATAAGTAGAAGAAGTCGTACTTTTATAGATTAAGAATATGTACGTTGATAAACAAAATTCAGTCATGTATTACTTCACAGAATAGTTTTTTATCCCTGCACAGGTATTTCCTATCTTTTGTTTTGTGATATGGAAAATGGTAGAGTGGAATTAATCGTGATATCAAGCTCTCATGATACGCAATTATTTATGCAAACTTCAAAGAGACAGATTTGTAATTACAACTTATAAATTGTATAATTTTAATTTAGAAAAATATTTTATTTTAGTTATTATTTTATTTAATATTTTTATTTAGATAATACTGCTGCTACTCATACCAAGCTCTAAAAGGACAAATATGCAATACATTTTTTTGAGTTTCTTGAAAAGAACTAATAAATTCTAATATTATTTAGAAAACTTAGTTTTAACGTGTAGCAATATTTTCACTTACATTGTAATAGGTTCATTTCAATAGTCCAGTAAACTCTCCAGTGGATTAAGACATTTCTATCAGGAAACGGACACTATAGAGTATTATCACCTTAATGCGCTACTGTGAGGATGAAAGTTATCTCTGAGTTCCGAATTGAAAACAACTTTAGGATAACATATCTTTCTGTTTAGTTCAATTTGTGTTATAATATGGAACCATATCTTCAGTGCTTGTTTATCCTCCATTTTTTCATGTTTCCCAACACTCATTCACAATATTAAAACCTTAAAGGTAAAAAGAATATACAAATCTGCCTGGCTATGTGACCAATGTGTTCATGCTAGAGAAAGTCATCACACCCCTGTGTTTAGTTCCTTAAAAGTTAAAAGGTTAGGTGAAGGAAACAGTTAAACGTAAATACATTGCACTGAGCACACTCTACACTTATAATCAATGATCAGACTGATATCAGTCATGGAAAAAACAAGAATGGAGACAGAAGGTTAAAGACTAAAACAAAAGACTAAAATCTGATCAAATTGATTATTTGTCCATCATAAGAGAAGTAACAAAAACCTACCTTTTATAAGCATAACTACATGCAGTATTTATGTGCATATAAATATAAAAAGATAAGAGACAACAACCAAACTAGATTGTTTTTTTTTTCTTTTAAAGAGAGACCAATGGTGATATGTTAGGCAATTTTTGTATTTCTGAAGATTAGGAAATCCTAGTGCACATTCCGGTTGGAAAAAAAGATTGTTAACATTCTGCAGAGAATTATTAGACCAGTAGACATTTGTTGGTAAGCAGTTTAAACTAGTTCAGACCATTAGAACACCAACTGTGATTTCCACTAGGAAACTAGCCTGCCATGGGTCATAGAGTGAGGAATAATGTAGAACATACAGATTTAATTCTCAGTCGAAAATCGCAAATATACCCTTCCTGTAATTACAGTAATCAGCTTGGGATCTTGAGCGGCAGGAGAAGGAAAGCTGACAGGCTTCAATTTATCCAGGAAGTTTCCGTCACTGATTACTGGTTGTCTTCTTGCTTTAGGAAATAAATACAGCACTTTTTAAATGTGTGCGTGTGGTAAAGGGGTTTAAAATCACACAGTTTATGGTATATACTCTCAAATTCTTCCTATTTTAGCCAAAATATTTCAGGATAACATTTAGTATAACAGATATAGGCAACATTCAATTCCATTACCCATTCACAATACAATAAGGTAGCATCACTGAAAGCGCACCGGGTGGGAAATTGAATTCTGACTTAATGTAGTTCATTAAAAACATCATCTCGACTTTTTTTATTTACATAGCTTTAAAATTAATTTATCAGTGAAGTTCATCCTTGGCACGGCAATGAAACTGGAGGAATCTGGGATTTTATTAAACAACAACAACAAAAATCCAAATGCATTACTCTTGTCGAAGCATAAGGGATATAGGAAAATCGCAAGGAACACTACAATACCCAACACCTACGCAGGAAGTGAGAGTGGAAGCTGGATTGGTTGTGTTCCGGTTTGCGGTTACTAGGGAACCAGAAATCGGCTTCTACTTTAAACAGATTCGTGTCAGATTTGCAATATTATGCGTTAATATTAATATCGACAATTGAAACAACATTTTTATAATGCGAATTATTTATCAGTACAACGGCTTATAATTTCACATGACCAAAACAACACAACTTCCTACCCTCCGCATCCACGATGTTTATTTATCTAAGTAAAAAGGTGAGTTTAAAAACAACGATTTTAAGACCAAGATAGAGCATGCTTTTGTAATTGCATTGAGAAAATTTGACTGATTTACCTAAGATTTTTAGGATTTTTATTTGAATGTTATATACTGTACATCTAAACAGTTACCAGTTTCTGTTAACATTCGCGATTCAGCGAAGATCAAAGGTGATTGTAAATGTAGTTGGTTTGCAAGAAAATAAGTCCCCATATTGCATTCTCGATTTTATTTGGAAACATATATGGATGATTGCAAACAACCACTGCGTAGAATTGTTAAAAAATTACTGTGGCGTTGTAGGTTACTTTCGCCCCTGAAACACGTAGTGTACAAGCAGTGCTGAGTGTGTTTTCACAAAACATTGAAGAGAAATACATTGCTTTCATATGAAGTTGTGCAGAAATTAGTCACTCCTATACTATGCTTTCACTTATTATCTAAAACACGAACATAATGTAAGCATTACATTTTGACTGCAGAGCTTTATTTTAAAGAAAAAATGAGTTTTTATTAGTATAAACACTACTTAGATTAACCTTCATTTACCTTTTGGAGATGAGTTACTACTGTAACCTTTGTTGTATACCATGTCAGAAAAATAGCTGGAATGTCCTATGTAGTATCATAGGTGATTGAGTTTCAGTGCACATAACATGGGATAACTGTTTCAGCCTTTCTAATCATAGGTTGTCACATATTGTAGCTAAGCCACGGGAACAGGCTGTGGCATTTCCACTTGGCCTGTTCTTTCGTGAGAGTGCTGGAAAAGGTAGCAAGGAAGGACTGAGTGAGTCCTTCCATGATTGAGACTTCATGGTAGATCAAGAGATTGAAATTACAGACTCAAAAAGCATGACATCTACTAAGACATAGTTCAGTGCTGAACACTGTTTGTCTTATGATTGTTCCTTTTCCTAAAATAGATTTGTATTTTTTTCATTCATTAGACACATATTGAAATATAATGTTTTGCTTCCTGCTGTTTTCAGATTGCCATACCCAATAACATACGTCTGAAATGTGTTTCATGGAACAAAGACCAAGGTTTTATAGCCTGTGGAGGAGATGAAGGGCTTCTTAAAGTACTAAAATTGGAAACACAGACAGGTAGTAATTGCTTTTTTCTTTCAGTCTTGGTCATTTTATTATATAGTCACACGATCTCAAGTATGGATTTTAGTGTATTGTAATCAAGTCATAATTCACATTTTAAAAAATTATCCAGTACTATAATATGTAAATCATAGGGATGAAACAAAGAATAACAAATAAAGTACATGAAATGTCAATATACAGTATTGAGATGCTAACCCCACATTAGTTGCTGAGTAATGTCTCTGAAACATCTGCCTTTTAATTTCGCTGTTAGTTCATCTTTCATTGCAATTCATTATGCTTCCTGCTATCACTGTTACCCAAAGGTTCCTATACTTTTTGATGCATGCCAGCACACAGTGGAAAGTAGCAGTAATGTAAGTTGTTTAACTTGTCGTGGTTCAGCTGGATTTTGCTCAGGAAAACACTGTTCTGTCTGATGTTATTTGTCTGACAACTTAGACAGCTTGAATTTCACGATATTCTAACACAGTGTTCTACACAAACCAACGACAATATATAAATATAGTTTTCGTATGCATACGTGTAAGAAGATCCAGGTGACTGATTATTATATTGAAACTGCACATTCTCAAACATTTGGAGTTTTGCACAGATTTATTTGAGATGGGAACAGATTTCCACGTGTTTCTGCCGGCAGGGCTCTGTTTCAGTCAGCTTTAAGGATTGAGATTATGTGTTATCCTGTTGAGTGTCACATTTCTGTTTGCAACACATTAATGTTGTTCTTAAGAAGAAATAAAAAAAGAATAAAGCCGTGTGCCTGTGTATCGCTCATAAGCAAGTGGTATTATTTCTTTGCAGTCTTTGTGGGCTTATCTCCTGTTTTACTTCACATATTTCTTATGTCTTCGTGGTCATTTTGGGTTGACCGGAAACCTTAAGGCTTTTGCGTTACTAGGTGATGAATAATCCATTGACTCATCACATTTAAATGAAACTGTATGAGCTGTAGTTTACTAAACAAAATAAGACAATTAATTGAGTCTGTATCTCAAGGGTGTTCCCCTTACTTCCAGAAACTCAACCTCCCCCACACACACTAACAGTAATTTTCCTGGCTTCTCAAGGTTTTAGTATATTCTCCTCACTATCTCTCCATAATGCAGAAACCAAGATTTGACTATGTGCATGGGCACAAATAACAAGGAAGGCATGTAACAGCAGAAAGTAGAAGTATTTTAAAGTACAGAAGTACATGGGCTTCACAGTAGTTGAAAATGTAGTTTTGTGTATAAGTTTCCTTTAATTTCAAAAGTGATGAAAAAGAGCATCATTTAATATTTCTTAAGTAAACACTAGAAGTTGATCAGTAAGTTATAGGCTTGTAAAATATTACACCTTATATAGCCTTCTCTATTTATAAACTCCTACTGTACTATTTTTTTCTGAAACATTTAAGTCAAGTGCAAACCATATTAACTCTGGGCAAACATCCTAACATTCAGGATTCTTTAATTGTACTACACTGTACAAAGGACATTCTTGCCTACTGTTGTTCACCTTATACTGTTTTTGTTCTTTCTTATAAATCCTAGATGATGCCAAACTCAAAGGACTGGCAGCTCCCAGCAATCTTTCGATGAACCAGACACTTGAGGGTCACAGTGGTAAGTAATGTCTGCTCGGCAATGTGCACAATGTCGACACTGAAGTGAAAAGTTAGATTATAACAAAATGGACATTACAATTTAAATAAATTAAGTCAAACCAACACAGGTTTGACTTAGAAAATGACGCTCTTGTGTTTTATTCAGGTGCTGTGCAGGTAGTGACTTGGAATGAACAGTACCAGAAACTAACAACCAGTGACCAAAATGGTCTCATCATAGTGTGGATGCTCTATAAAGGTAATGTACAAGAGGTTTGGATTAGCTTTGTAAACAGTAGTTGTAATAATAACAACAATAATCATGATGATAAATAACACTGAGCATTTTTGTGCAAAGGGTGTAATTGAACAATTTATAGTTACTTGTCTGCGAAGATACAGTGATTTTTGCCGTAGCCTGGAATTTGTTGATCATTATAAAAACAAAAACAGGATATTATGTATGGTTATTTATATATTCAATAATCAAGCAACATTTTTATTGATTACAGAATAAGATGGAAAGCTGTCCCTATTGAGCCTTCTGTGTTACATTCTAGGTTCCTGGTACGAGGAAATGATAAACAACAGGAATAAGTCAGTTGTCCGGAGCATGAGCTGGAATGCTGATGGGCAGAAGATCTGTATCGTGTATGAAGATGGGGCTGTCATTGTGGGTTCAGTTGATGGTAAATATGAGGGCACTTAATTATTATCTCATTTTAAATATGAAAGTAAGCATGCATTATTAATGTTATGTGTATGTTAAACACAAATACATGGATATCATTAAGATACATGTATGGTTATAAACAAAAAAGTTATATTTCGTATATGAAAGTACTGTGGGTAACAGTGTTACTTAAATGAGACAACTAAACAACTAAACTGAGTGTGGTCATTGGTTGTGAAGACAGTAAAATGCTGTTGTTGTCATGTGGTTTTCATTGACATTTTGTGCTAGTTTTAAATCTTAGTAAAGTATGATAAAAATATCAAAAGCATTTGATGTCTTTAAAAAATGTTCATACCTGTATTAATGTTGTGATCCATAGCATGTGATAGTTACTTTTTTAGAAACAACTAAACATGATAGAGTAACATTAAGTTTATTTTACTTCAAAGAAAGTGTAGAAGGTTGCTTGTATATTTTGGAAACCACATTATTCTACTTTCTTACTAGTCCTTTCAGGACTGACGGTAAGATCCTGGAACGCTCTTGGCTTTGAGATTTGTGTTGCATGTATTGCAGGTAACCGAATTTGGGGGAAAGACCTGAAGGGAATTCAGTTGGCACATGTTGCTTGGTCACCTGATAGCAAGATTCTCCTCTTTGGAATGGCCAACGGAGAAATTCATATATATGACAATCAAGGCAATTTTATTGTAAGTGTGAAATATCAAGAATAAAATGTATGCACCCACTCCCCAAGCTACGCAAGACTTCTGTTCCACAAGTTGGTGCATTACCCGAGTTTTACTAAGTTGGAAGTGACTTCTTTTTAGGGAGAAACAGTAGAGCAGAACTGTAGGCTCACCAGGTTTGTTTTTAATGGTTAAAAGGCGTGCGTGCTGATCACAGAGTAGGGTAGAGAGCAAGATGGAATCCATAATAAAGTACATTTATGTATGTACTTCTCTTTATGTACAGGGAGAGAAATGATAAAATATAGCATTTAAAAATATGCAGTACAGTAAACAAATGAAAGATCAAACAGAGAAAATTACCTTTTAACTAATTTATAGATAATACATACATTTCATTACCTTACACTCTACTATAAAGTCATTATACACAAAATAGAATAGACAGTGCAGTGAATAATAAAAATAATGAAACACTTGTGTGCCTCCGTCTTTCAGATGAGACGTTAAACCGAAGTCCTGACTCTCACTGGTAATTAAAGATCCTTGGTTATTTCTCGATAAGAGTAGGGAGTAATCCCAGTGTCCAGGCCAAATTCCCCCCCTCGGCCTTTACCGTGGCCTCCAAACTGTCCCCATGTATGATTGGCTTGCACTTGTCCAGGGTGTACCCTGCCCTGTGCTTGTTGCTTGCCGGGTAGGCTCCGGCTTCCCGTGACACCGTATGGTATTAAGTGGTTTGGTAAATGACATGACATGACATGAGTGCCTCCCTGAGCTGATTGCAATGTGGTTTGCTCCCAATTTTCAGTGAAAAAGCTTACGGTGATATACAAAACACAAAGTGAGAGCACAATGGAGCCCTGGTGGTAACTACATTATGTGCTCATAAACCAACTCTATAGTAAAAATAATCTAGCTTTGTGCTAAATAACCATGAAAAAAAAACACATTTACTGCTTTCTCTTTATGTATCTAATGTAACCTTTAGCTAACTTAAAGATTTATTATGTGACCCATGGGATGGTTTTACATAAAGTCAAGTCTCAAGTAACCTGGGAGGAGGACATATAATTTTATCTAAGAATATTCGGTATGTATTTCACATTACTTTCATAATGTGAAACAATACTATATCTTAAGAAGTGTGAAGAGCCTTGCATTCTTCATGTCTTCAGACACTATCTTATATTAAGCATGGTTTTGTTGCGTTTAGTCTAAACTTGGTTCAGGATCCAAACATGAACTAAGCAGGGTAAAAATTAAAATCAGTCAATCAGTACTGTTAAAAATAACAGTGTTTTATGTATAATCTTTTATATTCATGTACTTTGTGCAGGTCAAAATGACATTGAATTGCCTGGTCAATGTGACAGGAGCCATCAGCATTGCTGGAATACATTGGTATCATGGGACAGAAGGTTTTATTGAGCCAGACTGTCCGTGCTTGGCTATCTGCTTTGATAATGGAAGATGCCAAATAATGCGTCATGAGAGTGATGAAAGTAAGTAATGGAGGTGAATCTGCATTTACATCTATGAAAATAATTAAGGAATTTAATTGTGTTCATAACTGAATTATGTTCAGAAACATGGGGCAAGTACTTTGCAAATTTCAGACAATTAACTAAATTGTAAAACCATGAAAGGGGCTTACATTTTAACTTTAGCTTTTATAAACTTTATTATGACTGTATTGAAAGTAAGATTTACAAAGCGATAAAAACACAACAGTATTTGTGCCCTGGTGAGCTTACACAGTTATTTACTCTTGTGTAGTATTTTGAGAAGTGACATCTTGCAGGATTACAAGTTAGAGCAGCAGGGATGAAGGTGAATTTTGATGCTATCATTCATTCCAAAGTTTTGTAAAAATTCAATTTAAACCCTTCTGAGGATCTGTAATTTGTCTTGCATTTGTAATGTTTCTCAGACCCAGTGCTGATTGATACTGGAATGAATGTGGTGAGCATTCAGTGGAACCACTGCGGCAGTGTTCTTGCTGTGGCAGGCTCACAGAAAGCAATTGCTCTAGATAAAGACGTCAATGTTGTTCAGTTCTACACGCCTTTTGGAGAGGTAAGAGAATGGTGTTTGTAGATACTCTCCCACTTCTTACTGGATCCTTCAAGACAGTTTTATGAGCAAAAACAGATACTGTGGTTTTCTTAATTTCATCTGTTGTTGGTAATTGTATTTGTCATTCACAGTTAAGATTCTTTTACTCAGATTACTTGATAAAATGAAACTGCATTTTTGGTTTTGAATCACCGGCATTAGAATATGCAGGGGATTTGGTGAACATAGAAAATGATTCTACATCTTAATTGATTGTGGACAGGTTCTTAGAAAGCATGTGGGAGAAATCTCACCAAAGAAGAAGCATGTGGAGGAAATTTTCACATTCATATGCAAAACACACATGTAGAGTTTGGACTGAGAAATCATGAAAAACACTTTAGCAGTTCTTTTCACCTTTAGAATTATTGTTTTTTTTTTTAAACAAGATTGAAACAAAGTAATGAGTATCATCCGTACCCTTAAGAGACTGCTTTTCATGATTTATTGAAGTTTAGTATGCCTTTTTCAGTGCGTGTTCCAACTGCCAACAGCCTTTTAGGTTAAGTTACACAAAACATACCCTTCCATAAAAGGAAAGTTCTAGTTCTATGCCCGTAAATTATCATTTCTGTCTGCATTTTTAGAAAACAAATCCTGGAGCACTGATTCTTGTCATGATTCTTTTCTAGTGTTAAAGTAGAGCAGAAATGAAAGTCTCCAGTTTGTCTAGTATTTACTCAATGAACATGCTATCCCACCTGTTTGGTGTGTGCAAAGAGTTTGAGGCTGAATGTAATTTGAATTTCCAAATTTGTTATGGGTAGTTATGAGTGCTTATGAAGATATTCAATTCGAACTGAGTTGCATAAGATGTACCAGTGAGTATAGATTACTTCATTGTCATTTTGGTCCCGCATAAGGCTATAATCCGTGTATTTTTAAATTTATTTTAACCACATTAAAGCTTCATTTAAGTGTAAAAAAGTATTTGTAGAGTCACTCCACACTTTTTTGTAGCATTTACGGACCCTGAAGGTTCCTGGTAAGCAGATGATGGCAGTGTCTTGGGAAGGAGGGGGCCTAAGGATTGGCCTTGCAGTAGATTCCTTCATATACTTTGCCAACATCAGGCCGGATTATAAGGTAATAAGACAGTGTTCTTAACTTCCTAGTTGCAGGTGGGATTGCAGCTACTGACCTTTGTTTCAATTCAATTCAACTTTATTGTCATTAAACTTACACAGGTGCATAGTATAATGAAAAGTGTTTCTCATTAGTCCAACTGGGTACCTTGGGTGCATGCCACAAAATTGTATTTAAATTTCAGTAAAGTAATAAGAATGTGTTTTTTAAGGTTTGCATGGGGATAACACCAAAGCTAAAGAACTCAATAAAATGCTTAATAACATTTTAATGTTTAAAGATATGAAGGGAGATTTTAAATATAAACAGTAACTAAACAGTTTTATTTTTGTGATAAAACGCAGGAAGGTTTATTGAGTAGAGAATTATTATACTGTAGATATCAACGATTTCGCTTTACAGAAATGGTGCAGTATTAGTACACGTTTGTTACAAAGATCATTAAAAAATTGATCTTGTTTAATCATTCTGCATAGTGAAGAACCCAGGCATTTCACCTTATGTATGTAATATTTATGAATAAGTTGTTAATGAGTAGGTACATTTTTTTTACCCAAATTACTGTATACACATGAGTTTGATATTGATCTCTTACTTTAACAGTGGGGCTATTGTTCCAACACTGTTGTGTATGCCTACACCAGACCAGACCGCCTCGAGTACTGTGTTGTCTTTTGGGATACCAAGAACAATGAAAAATATGTGAAATATGTCAAGAGTCTCATGTCTATAACCACCTGTGGGGACTTTTGTATTCTTGCAACAAAATCAGATGACACCCACCCTCAGGTAAGTTGCTTCCAAATCAGTTGGAAATGTCATGGGTAGTGTGGTGTTTGTCACTCATTCATTGAACAAACAGTTGCAGTCATAACGAAGCTATTGAAAATAAAGAAACACTTAAAAGCAAGGTAAAGTTATTTTGTGGCTTGAGTTACATAAAGCTGTCTTTAAGAAAAAAAAAACAACAGAAAACATTTTAAAAGAAAATAAGGAGGGCTTAACTGTGCACAACAGCGCAGACTAGTCAGTGAGCACTTTTTCAAGCAGCCAAAGGCAAAGGTTCATGTTTTGGTTGAAACATCATGCATCTGACACACATCTGTTGAACTCTGACTGATTAGAACAACAAGAAAAAAGATTCATAGGGTGTTTTTCAAATGTTTTTGGCATTTAGAAATGCAGCTAAAATAAATTAAAACCGCTCTGTTCCGTGCTCACTTTATTTGCTGCTTGATTATCTACTTTCATTTCCTGCACTTTCATAAAATTTAGAGAAGTATTTGATATGCGATAAGAATATTAAATATGGCACTGTCTCTGGATGGTTGATAAGTGGCATTTTAAAGTACACAGTACTATATCACACTACTGTATGTATACTGTACACAGCACTGTATGCATAGCTGTAAACACAGTATATATTTTTAATCAAAAACAGTACATTGCTATGCTGTGAACATTGTCATGTAGAAGTCTTTTGGGGGGGCGCCTTATTAAGGCACCTCCCTTAATAAGGATTTCATAGATTGAGCCATTTTGTTTCGGTTTCAAAATAAACTTTTTACAAAATGTAGGAATCTTTCACAGGCAGCTGTAATGTTAAGTCTGTTAGTAATAAACTAAAGATAAAAGACACATCTGAAAAAAGTACTAAGTAAATCAACAAAAGCAATAAATTGTTTTCATATCCATTTTACATTTGACTTGCTATTCTCATCTGGCCTTGTGCAGGAAAGACAAAATAACAAAATACTAGTCCTCAAATAATAGTGGTCAGGATTGAAATAATACACTGATAATCTCTTATTAATTTTACTATAATTGTGTTGAACAGCAGTATATAATGTCTTTTTTAATTTCCTTGTTCAATGTATTGCTAACAAAGGAAGATACAGAGGCGGAGTCAGTGAGTGCAATGGTAAGGTACATTTTACAGGAGAGTCTTGAATATAGTTACGTTTCTTTTCATTTTGGGTAGCTGGAGTCAAATAACACATGCTAATTTACTACAATTTACAAATTGCAATTTACTGTTACATTATTAAAGCATTCTATAGCAAAAAAATCCAGGCTTGGTCATGGAGATTCCCAATCCAGCCAGTTTTGTAGGACATTCTAAATCATCTGTTGATTAAACAAGTAATGTATTCAGTTGAGGGAAGTGGGACTGTTAACTTAATTATATTCTTGGTAACTGTAAATTCACACATTAACTGAAATTTAAATTAACAATTCCCCTGCAGTTGATCACAATTAGAATGTAAGAAAGGTTACAAAGTCTTTATACATTAGTGATTTCATAGTTTACCTACAGTACATAACCTGCTGGACTGGGCATATCCAATAATGGTTTGTCTATTGTCTATGTCTTCTGTTTTTTTGTTTTTGTGTTTCTTGGATATGTTTGTTTGTTTTTAATCTGTACTGTTCCTGTGTTTTGTTATCCTAGTCCTGTCATTTTTTATATTATGTTAAAATGTTTACTAAGCAGAACTATTAAAACCACATTCTTAAGATATTTTTTCATTAAAAACTTTTGAGATGTTCATAAAACTACTTCATACCACCTCATGATGTTACCACCTATTTAATGAATTAATATAAAATATTAAAAACCAAGTTTTATTTTTATTGGATGATCTTAGTGCTTCCTAAGGGGAATCAAAACCTGTGATTTTATCATTAAGGTTTTTTTTAGAACAGTTTAAGGCCCTTTTTTGTAGAACTTTAGTCAAGTCTATGTAGTGCTTTAATAAGTAATTTCATGTGAATGCTAGAAATATATAACTTTAATATTTAGCTTTACTGTATATATATTTCTGAATCATAAAACTTAAATGTTTAAGTTTGTGTATGATTCATCTCTTTTCATCTAATGGCTGCTGAAAGGTCGCATCAGAAAACATCAGAAAGGTACTAACTGTCTTTTAACCATGGACCCACATCAGATAAAGATCTTCCAGTTAAACAATGATGTATAACTATATTCAATTATACATCATGTATAATATTATATCATAAATTATGATCATGTAATTTTACAGAATTTCTACTTTTTGTTCTGAATTCTAAAATCACATTAGTAAATCATTATATTGTTATAGATTTATATTTTAGTTCAACTGCCTAAAAAGAACACAGCTTATTGTCTTTAATGTGGAGCATTTAAAATCCACCTAAAATAAATTTACTGGCAGTGCTGAAGTAAGTAATAGCCATTGGTTCACTTAACAGTTAATGTGCCCTCTTTCTGCCTTTTCTTTCTGTTGTAGTATGTGCTTGTCCTCTGTAACTCTATAGGGACTCCCCTGGACTCCAAGTACATTGACATAGGTAAGTGTAACTAGTTTGGGTGAACATTGCACGCATTTCGTACATTTTCCTGATTTTACACCTCTTTAAACACACAAAGACCTTAAGTAAATTCTTTCAAAGCCAAACAATCATCCTTCACCTCTGGAAAGCTAAACATACAGTAAAACATTTCTGTCATCAAAGAAAAGCAAACATTCAGTACTAGAGCTGTTTGTACTACTGGTTTTCAAAGGACCGTTGTAGTCTCGTTGGGTAACAGCAACAGTCAGACCATTCACTAACCTACAGCAAACATGGCCAAAGACTGCACCTCTTTCCATTTCATAGATATTGTGCAAAATTCCTTCAATATGCAGTAAGCCAGACTGTGATTCGGGAGAGACGTGTCCTGCGTGGCATATACTGTAGCTGGAAGCAGGCACATTTGATTTGAACCACAGGACTGGTAAAACTGTCTTTCTCCTTCTAGAAAGTCAGATTTTAAAACCAGATGTCTTAGAGGAATTAAATAAATTAAAGTTTCCTTATATATGAACTATTTAATATAACAGACTCTACTCTCTGTGAGAATATTTCTGTGAGATTGAGACTGTTTAGAGGCCTCTAGTGGCAGATCAGCTGTAATTATAGCTTTGTCTACAGTAGCTGGCTTGCCATAATAATGTATAATTATTTACCTTATTTTGAATTAATTCTTCCATCTATTATCAGAAAGGTTATCTGTAATGTTTCTGTGTTTTGTTATCCTATGCCAGTCTTTTTTTAATTTTCTGTTAGATGTTTACTAAGCAGAACTGTTAAAATCACACTCTTAAGATATTTTTCCACTAAAAAAATATTTTAAGAGATGTTCATAAAACGAGTTCATACCACCTCATGGTAAGAGTCTTAGCTAAACAGAGCCAATCCTGAAAGCACAAGGCACAAGGTGGGATTACACCCTGGACAAGACTTGTCCTCCATGTAGACACACCAGTTAGCCAGCTTGTCCCTGGATGCTGGGAGTTAACCAAATGTAATTTGAATTTGAAATGGATAAAAAAATCTTTTTTATTTTTATGATTTTCCATAATGGGCTGTAGGGGGTGTGGAAGCTAGAACTGTGTCCTCGTAGCGCTCGTGTTTTATTCCCTCCTGTGGTGCCTTCTATGTGGAGCTTCCCCATGGTTGTGTGGGTTTTGTCTTGATGCCCCGGCTTCCCCTCAGCAGTTCAAAGACATGTTTTAAAGACTAATCAGTGGAAACATGTGTGTGCCCTGTAATGGACTAGCATCCTGCCCAATGTATATCCCTCCTTACACCCATCGACTGCTGGAATGAGCTGTGGCTCGCTGTGATCTTATTTTGGACCAAGCAGTTATTGAAAAATGGATGGATAGATTTTCCCTAATCCACAATTTGAATTAAAGAATAAATGTACATTCTATTATCATATTACAGGCTGCTGTTACAGTATGTTGTTTTTTTAATTACCTATATGCAATTACCCACTAAAGACTGGAGAAAGGAAAAAATTAAAAAGGAATAAGTATTCAGACCTGTTTTTGAGTGCATGATATGAAATATGTATAACAAAAAAGTTGATCATTTTAACAAAACCAATTTAAAAAGTGTTCTTTTAGCAGTGAACATTTTCTGTCCACCGTATTTGCATAAATACCACTAGTATCCATTACATTTGCTGGGGTTTTCTTTGAATGACAGTGTATCGGTTAAAGCTGAGCGTTTCTCTTGTAGATCCACTATTTGTCACAATGACCAAGACACACGTGATCGCTGCCTCCAAAGAAGCGTTTTACACCTGGCAATATCGGGTAGCGAAAAAACTGACAGCCATGGAGATCAACCAGGTTGCAAGAACAAGAAAGGAAGGAAGGGAGAGGTTAGCTCGATTGTTTCTTCTTTCTGGAGTGATCAGTATTTTAATAGTAATATTCACTCGAAAATACATTTTTCATCTGAAACATCTTAGTCATTATTCTAAAACAGTCAGTTCATTCTTTCCTCTTGGTTTTGGATGAAGAAAGAATACCAAATGTCATTATTAATTATTATAGAGTTTTGTCAAGGTTTTCTTGTTTTCTGCCATTTGAAAGATTTGCAGTTCTGAAAGGGAAACAGACATATCCCTAATCTCTCTTCAGGGTCTATCATATTGATGATACCCCATCTGGAACAGCAGAAGGAGCACTTGACTTCTCAAAAGCATTCACGGTAAGTGCCATCCTACAGACTAAACCCTTGCTCATTTGGATGCTAGATGCTAGTCATGTGTACAAGTAGTACATGTGATCCTCTACATGTGAAAGAATCCAGGGTGTTAGCTTTGCAACATGGCTGTGTAGCTTATTACAGGCACCTGCAACTGTTTCTGTGAAGATGTACCTTCTGATATCAGTGCACTTCCCCATACTTTTCCACATTTCCTCTGGTTAATGTTTCACTCCTGGTTCTTGAGAAATCCATTGAGTGTATTTTGTCATTGCCCTTGGAAGACTAAGTCAGTATAGGATATTATTCCTTTGAGTCCAGAAATGTGTCTTACTCCTTTTCTCCGAAAGTGTTCCAGAGCAGCAAAATCTTTTTTACAATATGGAGACCAGTGTAATAAACAAAAGGTGGTGCTTCCAAATCTCACTGTTTGATTCTACTTCTTCTTAATTTTTTACATTTTTATGGTTCAGTGCAATTTCCTATCAGTGTTTTGTGCTTTTAAAAGAGTCTTATTGGGCTTTTAGTCTGTTTTACATACCTACCACAGAATGTGGTTTGCTATGGATATGAGGTGTCACATCATGATCTTTCACCCTGGTATAATCACTGTTAATTTTGTATTTATTACCACATACCTTGTTTTTGATTTTGATACATCAAAATTCATACATGTATTTACATAATGTAGATGTCAAGCAATATTTGGATCATTGTGATGAAATCTGGTTTAAATCATCCCCTGATTTTGGACTTCACAAGACAACATTTATTATACAAAGGAACAAGTAATAGGTTTATTCCATGCTGAAAAAAAGAAGAAAGAGAACACAATGTTTCGGCCGTGGTGACTGATTTATTATACAATGTTATTTTCTTGGACTACAATTAATTAGTAACAAATATATTGAGTATCAAAATAAACTATTTGCAAGCATATTTTAAGAAAGAAAAGAAAATAAATTATACAAATATTGGATATTGATTAAATGTCTTTGGCATGCTTTAATTTAATTGATGATTAAAGATGACCACAGTACACTCCTGTGACTATTATATAGCAGTGAATCATAGAGTTTGTCAGTTGATTAGGTAAAGGTGTTAAGACACAGCATATTCAAACGGTTGAATTTTATGCCTGATGAAAATCACGAAAAACATTTTGTCTAGAATGTTTACAGTTTCAAACGCCTAACTTACTGTACCAAGACATTTTCTTCCTTGCTGTTACCAAGACTGATACTCTAGGTTGGTACTGTACTGTATGTCCAGTTGCTACAGAGCTCCACCTGTAGTGACCAATGGTAACTTGGCTCTATGGCCTACATCAATAAAGTCTTGAGGTTGCACATGCTGCCCTTCTATTGGCTCATCGTGACATGACAAGGATTCACCAGTGCACCAAAGGTCTTCATTCTGTGCGTGTAACATTGACATTCTTCTGAGATGATGTGTCCATTATGTCATAAATACTAGACAATATGTCCCATTGAATGTTTGTGCGGTAAATTGTTATAACATCTGTAGCTAACATCTAGGGTTCAGAGACCAGTGAACAGACACATGTTTGTCTAGGATCTATGAGTATCCACCTAGACTGCATCTGCAAACTGGTGCAAACATGTACTTGTTTAGTAGATGTGCATCTAGTCAAATGACCCCATCATTGAAAACTCACCATTTTCATTATTTTGCCCCACAAGAATTGACACAACACAGAAATATATATTTTTAGCTAGATTATTCTGTCAAAGAACACTTTTTTTCATGTTGACTTTATACTAGAATGCATGTACTATGTCTAGAATTCATGTTTTTGGTAGGAAGTTCAGTACTTTATTTTGTGATACAAGTTAACATTTTTTACAAAGGATTTGGCATAAAGGTAAAGCATGAAATGACACAGTTATTGAATGATACTGGTAATCCAATAGTTTTATTAAAAAAACAAAATAAATTGTTAGCTTTAACAGGGATTTAACCCTTTCTGTCCAGGTTTCAGTGATCTTGATGTTCTAAATCTTGGAAGCCTTATAGGTTTAACAACAAATGTGGCAACAACTCAATGTGGCATTTTTCTTCATAAACTGTAATTTCCAATGATCCAGGATTTCAGCTAAATACTGTATGAATGGTGGATGTTTATGTATACATGTGTCTGTCTTTTAATTATTTTTAATGTATTTCATTTTGTCTTAGACTACGAGAGATCCTATTTGTTGCATTACAGCAACAGACAAGACATTGATTGTGGTATGTAATATTTATTGAAATTGATTTTTCTTGTCCATTGTTATTTTACCAAATCAAGACAATCATATTTTTAAGTTTAATCATAATATATGGTGTGTTTTCTGCGATACAATGGTGGGACTTTATTTTTCTGCACTCTAGAAAATGTTTTTAATACACTATATGGAACAAGAATAAGTAAGTCAGCAGGTTTTTATGTTTCTGGGGGAATTGTTTGATTAGAAAAGCAATTTGAAATATGTTTGAATAACTGATGACTGCAGTGAGTACCTATCACGTGATATAAACAATTCTTAATTTACTGTCTTCCAGGGACGCGAATCTGGCACAATTCAGAGATATAGTCTGCCCAATGTTGGTTTGGTCCAGAAATATGTCTTGAACTACAGAGCCTACCAGCTTTCGTTAAACTGCAACTCCAGGTCAGTCCCAGCCACTACTTATATTTTGTTGACTATCTGAAGCATTTGTGGTTTCTCATGTCCTGAACGCAGAAAATCAGAAGGAAACTCATTTCTCTCATTTCAAAATTCCTTTCAGAAGGAACTTCACCTTCTGAAAATATGCAAACCACTAATAATGCATACAAATTCAACTAATTTTGTGGCTTGTTAATTTGTATAACAAAAAATCAATTTAGATTTGCCTCTGTAAAAGAGGTTGAATACTTACGCAATCATGACTTTTCCCTTTTTTTTTCATATTATTTACTACTTTTTTTTTCTTGGAATAAGTTGTATATATAGCAATTGTTACTACAAAGTCTCATGACTGTAAGTTTGAAAGCAACAATGGGGTGCAAAGGTCTGAATATGTTTGCAAGTCACTGTACTATATATATACAGTCTGGATGTATAATGTTATTTATTCCTATTTTTCCACACATTTTATAGACCATAAACATCAGATAAGAAGTCAGACATGACGGATATTAACGGAGTAACATTGTGAGGTTCTGTTGTTTCAAACACTTTTATCTCTGTTCTTGTTGCCAGTCGGCTTGCCATAATAGATATCACTGGGGTGCTGACGTTTTTTGATATCGAAGTACGAACATCAGAAAGCTCAGGGCATCAAAGTGCAGGGGACCCTCTGAAGTTTGAGCGCAAAGATGTGTGGGACATGAAGTGGGCCACTGACAATCCCGATCTTTTTGCCATGATGGAGAAGACGAGAATGTATGTCTTCAGAAACCTGGACCCAGAGGTAAGATATTTAAAATAGTCTGTCAGGATGTTTATTTGAAAGAAGAGTACTCTCACACATTGATGCACAAGAACCACCAACTGTTTTTGCAAAAATATCCAAAATTCTAGTTCCTTAAATGGAGAGAAGCATGTGGACCTCCAAATACATATTTTGTGGATCTTTTTTTTACTTTGTCTTGGGATTCATTACAAAATATAAGAACTCACTCAATCATGTCATAAAAATGTGTATGCAAAATTAAGGAACTGTAGATTATACTGGTACTACTGATATAGATTACACAGTGACTTGGAGAAATCATTTGTTTTGAAATAAAACAGAAAGGGATTTACAATACTGTTACATTTAGAGGATTAACAAATTGAGAATTACTGAAAATAATCAAGAACCAAAATACATAATCATAGCCTCCAAATTGTAAAGATATTCTTAGCATATACCGTAGAGTTTGGTAACTGATGAGCTCTTTGTTTTCTGGCACTGCATTTTGAAAAGAGTAATAAATCAGGCAAACTGGGTTAAATGGTTTCTTTTATTAATGATGACAATGACACACACTAAACAACGCACAACATACTGTATAATACACAAGCTACTCTATTTACAGTGCGTCTCAAAAGGCCTCCATCCTGACCAACCCCAAAAAAAACAGACTGCTTCTAAGTACTCAAATCCTATATAATGCCTTACAGACCGAAAAGAGAGATTGACCTGCTGTTAAGCCTAACAGAATACAACCTATAGTAAATCTCTCTGTCTATGAATCTGGATGCTACAAAGTGACTGGCCTGTTCTGAAAATGTACTTAGAGAAGAGGCTGTTTTTAACCCTGGTATTCTCTATGCAGGAAATCAGGGTTTTCTAAAAAAATAAAAATGGCAAGCTCTCTTAACACGGTTTAAATTCTTAAATCTGGTCTTAAAGGCTGATGGGAACAATGACCTCCCTCCTGGCACTGTCTCTTCTGTCTTCTTGTATCTTTCTGTCAATCCTCTCTCATCTGTCTTCCTCTCTTTGCATCTCCCCTTGTTTATACCCTGTTCCTGGAGTGTTGATGACTCTTAATTATTTACCAAAAACTTAATTAATTGAATACTTTGATCAGCTCTCATCATGGATGCCTTTATATATTACTCAATACGTTCAATTCTTTTAGCCTGTCAGTGTAGGGTATATATAATACTCACCTGTCCTGTGATATTTGGTTTACTACAGGTGTCATGTCTGTTTTCTAACTTCTCTGTTGCAATTTTCTAGGAGCCAATCCAGACATCAGGTTACATATGCAACTTTGAAGACCTGGAAATCAAGTCAGTTCTTTTGGATGAAATATTAAAGGTAACAGAAACACAACATCATTTAGTATTTTCCAGACTAAAAAATAAAAGCATTATTATTCAGTTTAGAATTGGGACTATCATGATAAAATTTATTCAAGAGGGATCATTTTCTTTAGTCTGGTGCAAGTATAGAGTAACATCTACTTAGAGTCGTAGCACTTTGTATCTGTTTCATTATACTAAGCAAAGTATATTATCTTTTTTTTAATAAACCTGATAGTGTTATACTTTTACCCTGATGACAAAAACCTGATTATTATAACCAGGAGTGAGTTGCTTGACAAAAAAGTGGAGGTACTCAGCCAAATGGACTAGGCCCGTGGGTCCTTTTTTTATGTTTTGTCAATATACCGTTTCATGTAAATTAATAAACATTTAATCTGAAATGCCTTTAAAATGTTTTCAGGACCCAGAACACCCTAATAAAGATTATCTGATCAATTTTGAGATCCGTTCCCTGCGAGACAGCCGGGCCTTGATTGAAAAAGTAGGAATTGAAGATGCATCCCAGTTCATTGAAGACAACCCTCATCCCAGACTGTGGTAAATGTCTTTTATTTGTCTGTAATGATGCCTGTAAGAAAAGCATATCTAACTGAAATCAGAGAAAATTCCTCCACACCAGTTTGAGTGGCATTGAATACACAAATGAAAATACTCAAGGGAGTGCGACCGTGTACAGACTACATACAGTACTGTAGTTGTGACTCAGACTTAAAAGCAAAAAACAACTGAAACATTTAAAAAAGCCACAATGACCTTAAGGAACAAATAATCTTTAACTAAGGATCTTTACTAGTGGTACAAGAAACTAATTTTCTGTTTGATATTTTTACAGCTGTTTATTGTTGATAACTGATGCATCAACATTTGTTAGAAAATGAAAACATAATTTGCAGATGATCCTGCTACTGAAAACACTGTTGTGCATGACAAAAAGATACAGTATAAATTTCTTTGTTGTCTTACATAAAGGAATCAACTAAATAATTTACATTCAAATAACATTCTGATTACAAAATTATTATAAGTAAAGATTAATCGTCTACATCACACACACCACTAACATAGCAGATCTGTAGAAATGTCTTTCATCAGTTACTACTTTTTTACGTCAAAATCAAGCAAACGTGATTATAGACTGCAAAGCAAACAATTAATCTTCATTTTATGTAATATTTCCATATAATCCAAGCACAACAAAGGTAGATTTAATACTGGCATTAATTTAAACTATAATCTGTAATGTAAGCATATGCTTCTTGTTACATTTCAGCAGTCACAAATTCATTCTGTAGATGTACCGGCAAGCACTCATCTCATTTTATATAAAACATATTCAATACAAAAAAGACTATTTTAATTTAAGCCACAGCATTTCCATTTTGTTTTACCTGTCATATATTCTTGATCAAAGCCTAGACCATTTTATTGTTATCTTGGCAGCACAATTGTGTCTTGGCAGATTTGTTACATGCTCCTGGATTACTGATGGGGAGAGTTGTAGTGTAGTCTGTCCACCACTTCTTCAGGACAAGCAACAAAACAAAAAACCTTTTAATTCAGAAACAATGCAACAGGGCTGCTTTTGATCTGGCTTATCTAACATGAGAAAAAGGCTGAAACTATTTAATCGATGCACTCATACATTTTCAACTGTTACAAAATCTACTACCTCCAAAAGAAATACGTTCTCACGTTGACTCTCAAGTGTTTAATACCAGTTGGCAGCATATCAAACTGAGTTCTGATATGATGCATCAATTCATCAAAATATAATCATACTCTGGGAAAGTATCAATTATTAAAACATTTATTATTACTGTACCACCATTATTTACTGTTTCCTGAGAAGAATTTTCATGTAGTTTGGATGGATGATGGAAAAACAACAATTTGCTTTATGTCTGTGCTAAACGATGAAAAAACAAAGTAATAGGACGTTCTGTAAAATCCCTGGAAATAATAAAAAAATAAAATAGGAAATTGTCAGTTATAATTGAAACACATAATCTGTTAGGATATTTATATACTGTATATATTACACAATGAGTCACTAAAAATAGACATTTCCTCGTACCTTTTCAAGAGAATTGTAAATAACCGATCATCTGTATATACAGTATCTTAGCACACGGCGTAAACCTGACTAGCACTGATTGATTTTACATTTTTACATGGTTAGAACTCTTCAGACCTTTTTCAGGTCTTTTGGCAAGACTTGAAATTTATTGCTTTGTTTTGGAACTGCAAAAATGATTGATGCTTGCATGATCTCTTCACTAACCTGCAGTGGAGTTCAGCTCCCTGTGTTAATTCTCACAGCAGAGGGGGGAATTTGGGACTCCTGAGAGCTCTGGCTGCAGTTTTGTTTCAATGTGAGCTTGTCAGAGAAGCATTTCACTGCTCCAGTAAGGGCAAAGTGAAGACATTACACATCATTTCATTTTCTAACTACTAAACTAGATGACATTGATTACACTTTTGTCTGTTTTTCTAAAAACACTAATTGAAAAATACAACATGTGGGAGAGATGGTATAGAGAATGGACAGAGAATTCAATTTGGAGATTATTATTTATTGGTTATTGAGACATCTGTCTTACAAGTCAGATTTAAACACAGAAACCTGTAAAAAATGATATTTTTTGTATTTTAGTATAAATATAAGTCAATTAACATTTTATATCTGACTCCTTTGTCTCAACATAGTAGAAACATATGAAAGAGTCAATAAACACATGTAGGTTTTCTGTTTTTTGATTAATCAATTTTTACAAAATAAATTTTAATAGTTGTTTAAAATCAAGTTACTGTATTATTGAAATTAAAATCGGGAGCCATTACCACTGCTTTTTGTGATAAAGTGTGAAGAATTTAGACTTTTTCGAATATTTACAATGATACTGAAAACGTGAGGTATCTTTATTGAACTAAAATGTTTGCTGTGAGCTGTGAATGTGTGACCAAAGGTCATAACGTTGTGTGGTCCAGATGTTCTATGCAAATGAATCTGAGATTCCAACAATATTTACAATATCATTGTGTAAAATTAACAGCTCACTGGTCTTGAACATAATTAGCATTTTTCCATTAGTATACAGTAAGTCCAGTAAAAAGTACAAAACCTTTTCTGTAACTTGATGAAACTAGTAGATTTTAAATTCCATTGCTACTGACTGAATTATAAAATAATAATTTGTGTATAGATATCCATTGATTGTTGGAACCTTGCTTTGTATTTTTGTATTTGTATTTTTCAGTGTTATTTTTACATAAATACACATTAAATTCAAATATGTGAAGCACAAGTAAAACTACAAAATTATTTAAATATAACATGTAATGTCAAAAGAAAAGACTTGTTACCCACAGAACTGGAGAAAATCATTTCAAAAGTGATTCTAAGGTTATAATGTTCTGGCCAGTAAAAGGAAGAAAATATTTTTAAAAACTTCATCTAATCCTCAGCTTCACACAAAAAATGTTTCTAATCCTCAAATTCACACAGATAGATGTTCCTAAATTTACAAATTATTTTGGAAATCCAAAATTTCTTTTTTAGGCGCTTACTGGCAGAAGCAGCTCTTCAGAAGCTAGACCTGAAGACTGCAGAGCAAGCGTTTGTGCGTTGTAAGGACTACCAGGGCATTGAGTTTGTCAAGCGTCTCGGTAATCTGCAGAGCGAGTCAATGAAACAAGCTGAAGTTGCAGCTTACTTTGGGAGGTTTGAGGAAGCAGAAAGAATGTACTTGGATATGGACAGAAGGTATTTTTTTATTTCTGTAATTTTGAATATTTAGATAGTGAAAATAAGTCTATTTCCTAGCGGATTTATCTCTTTCTATGTCTGTCTGGTTTGATATTTCAATGCAACTGTTCATAGCTGCTGATTGAATTTGAAAAATCTGAAGGACCTTTGTACAAAACATCCAATCAGATATTTTCAGCTATCTGCCTGGGGTAGTGTTATTAGCGGAGTGGCAAATCATAAATGCACTGAAAATTTAAGTTCTCATTAAGTTATCATTTACAAGAGAAAGGCTTTCTTATATGTATGCTAAAAAATACACAAATTGAACACATTTCCACTGTTTTTATAATGATACATATTTTAGAACTTGGGTAAACCTTTACTGCTCACCTTACAATGAACTACTAACATCCTGAAAAAAGAACTGCTATTACAAGATATTTTTACAAGAAAACCTTTCAATTGTTAATAATTACCGGAAATTTTCTGTTTTTTTTCAGTGAATTTATGATTTGCCTTTAACAATTACAAGGCTCTTGGAGCAGAAGGAAATACACAACTAATTAAATAATGAAATTAAAATTTAAAACATTGTGTAATTAATCTAGCACAGGCATTAACCTAAATTAAACAAAAACAAAGTGCAAAAATATGAATAGGCCACAGGATATTACAGTATTACAGTTGTGTAAATGAAAGAAAGGATGAAGGAAGTGCCTTTCCTGTCATTTGTCGTTCGTCAATGTATTTTTTATTGCAGAAAAAACTAAATTATATCAAATGTGTTCTAATTTCAAAACTGTCAAATCAATGTAATATGACAGTTACAGACTGAGTGTACTATTATCAATATGGAATTCATTTTTATTTGTTGTTTGTAACACTGGATTGGACCAAGTGTTCAAAGGTCGTCTCTTGCTATACAAAAAAATCTTTCTACACAAGTGGCATATTTTTCAACAAAGTTGCAAGAATGATCCAGTATAATAAGCTTGCTGTTTAGAAGAAATCCTGTACATAGCTTTTGGTTCTACTGTTGGCACCACATAGGCTTGTCCAGGGTGAAGCCTTTAAGGCATCCTGGCTTCAGGCAGAGAAAAACATGTCTAAAGATATCATGCAGTGGGTAGACATTCTGTGCTTGTGACCATCCATACCCTAACAAAATTTAAATAATTTAAATTCATTTTTTAAATAATTGTTTAACAATTTTTGTCTCTTTTTCTTTCCAGAGATCTTGCTATCAGTCTGCGAATAAAACTGGGGGATTGGTTCAGGGTGCTGCAGTTACTGAAATCTGGTTCAGGTGATGCTGATGATGCTCTTCTTGAGCAGGCATACAATGCTATTGGGGATTACTTTGCAGACAGGCAAAAATGGCAAGTCACTGTAATCATCTGAGATTACTGATTTTATTTTTGTATTTTTCATTAAGATATGATTAGCTTTTAAGTTTAATGTTACAATGCTTTGTAATTTTATGAGAATTTTTTAAACCATTAGTTTAAATGCTGTCAAATTGCTTTTTTAAAAAAAATCTCAAAATCCACATGAAAATAGGTGAAAAGGATTACAACAAGGATTTATTTCATTATTATATAAATACCTTTAAATTACTACTAAAAGTTGTGCCTCAGCAGAATAACGACCTGCTTGATAAATAGGGAGTAATGAGAGACGCTAAGTATTGTAGAGATTTGGTAAAAAATCAAAGTAAAAATTGTGAACTGAGTGCGGTAATGGGGAGACAGTGAAAACGTGTTAGAATTCTGGTGATGGTCACAGAGCCTTGAACATGTTAGAAGTTGATGAGTTGTAGTTTGTGGAGGAAGCTGGTGGGGAATGTAAAGGCTATTACAGTAATCTAGTCAAGATGTGAAGAAGGCATGAATCAGGGTTTCTGCAGCAGTGTAATCAAGAAAAGACCAAATGTGGACAATATTTACAGTTTACAGCTGACTTTGATTTGTGCATCAAACACGATCTTCAGATTAAACAAGATCCCAAGATTTCTCATAGTAGAGCAAAATTTGAGGCTACTGTTTCAAGTTTAATAAATGAGATGTATCTTCTCTGGGATATATGCACCCCAGTTTTTGTCATATTTAATTGGAGAAAATCTGAGCTTAGCCAGGCCTGAATTTCACTCACACAGTTTGACAGATGTCAAAGGGAGTCAACTCATCAAAGGGTGGGTCAGATGAAACAGAGATGTAATGCTGAATGTTGTCAGCATTAAAATGAAAGTAGACACTCTTTTTGCCAATAAGACTGCCTAATGGGTGTAAATAGTTTAAAAACAGAATAGGTCCTAGGATACAGACTTGGGGGACACCTGAAGAGAGTGTGACAGTTTTGGACTAATGACAACAAGTTGGTTCTCATTTGGAAAATAAGACTCTGGGGAAAAAGGATCTGGAGCACCCTATGAAAACAGGGGAAATCTTACCAGCTCCTCGCAGAAGGAGCTTCACATTTTCACAAACACATTCCACATATCATTTTATGATATTTTAATTTTTATGAAGAAGCATTGAAGTAATTAAATACTTTACGTTTAGTTTGAAGGTCAGTTAACAGAATTAATCTGTAATGTGTAGAGATGCTTAAAGCCAGCAGCTAGATCACTTTGCAACTCACTGAAGCTATGCAGGTGTGACCCTGGCCAGTACCTGGATGGGACACCTCCTGGGAAAGTTAAGGTTGATGCTGGAAGCAGTGTTAGTGGGACCGATAGGGGGTGCTCACCCTGTGGTCCATGAGGGTCCTAATGTCCCAGAATAGTGATGGGGACACCATATTGTAAAAACAATGTGCCAGTCTTCCAATGAGATGTAAAACTGAGGTCCTGACTGTCTGTGGTCATTGTAAAATGCATTTGTTGAAAAGAGTAAGGGTGTTACCCCCGTCATGGCCAAATTTCCTCCTGGCCTTTACTAATCATGGCCTCCTAATCATCACTGTCTTTAAATTGGCTTCATTACTCTGCTCCCCACTGATAGCTGATGTGTGGTGAGCGTTCTGGCGCACTATGGCTGCCGTTGCATCATCCAGGTGGGGCTGCACATTGATGGTGCAGGAGGCGAGTCCTCAATACCTGTAAAGCTTTGAGTGGGTTGTCCATATGTTTTAACAAGCCATTTGTTTCATTTAATTTCTCCTTCATCTTATGTCCAGGGTCAATGCTGTTCAGTATTACCTACAAGGCCGAAACCAGGAACGATTAGCAGAATGTTACTATATGCTGGAGGATTACGATGGGTTGGAAAGACTTGCAAATTCTCTTCCAGAAAATCACAAACTTCTCCCAGTAAGGCATTTCACCTAAAATCAGTGTAGAACAAAATAATATTTAAAGTGGCCCATTGCAGATGTGTACTTCTCATTACAGCTGATGAAGTTTAAATGGTGTCCTCTGTAAATAAATCAGGATTGTCCATTCACAAGACAAGCAAAGAGGAGCAGATATCTTTTATGACTTTCAGTGCCTTAAAAGTTTTACTTGGCCCTTACTGGTGCAACTATATATATAATAAATACATAATTTTAAAGTGATTTTGTTTGCAGTACAGAATATGTTTGTCGTCCTGAGAGTTGTACCGTTTACATCCGTTTTCACCTTTTTTCAATAATGTGTGTTACAGGATATCGGTCAAATGTTTGTGACAGTTGGCATGTGTGAACAGGCTGTGAGTGCATATCTGAAATGCAACCAACCTAAAGCCGCAGTCGATGCCTGTGTGCATCTAAATCAGGTGAGATATTTTTAAGCACTTTAAGTGTTAGGGATCTGCACACCTTGCTTAAGTGAACAGTGCAGTTCAGTTATGAATGGATATCAACTTTGATCGCTTATTTCAAAATATTTTCTTTAGTCCTGATTTTTTAGATTATGAAAAAAAAACAAGACTTGGTAAAAAAGATCAGTTATCACCGTTTCTAAATAGTTGTTCTCACCAGTTGTTACCATCATTCAGAAGCTTGTTGGGTGGTTTAATGCTAGTTTAATTTTTTTTTTAATCTTTAGAATAATAAATCAGTGCATCTAGAACAATATTTACTTTTTTTCCAGAAAAGCTTTCGTCATCTGGGTATTTCTAATAAAAGCTGGAAAATTGGCTGGCTCCAGCTGATGAGATTTTTAACCTCTCAGATAATTTTAGGTTTTTGATGTCCTGCATAATTAAGTGGAATATGAAAAATAAGCCTTTATTTGACACTCTATTCTGATCTATTCCACATGCCAATTTTATCTTTATTTCTTTTCCCTAGCTTTTTTGAGTTTTGCTTGACTCAAAGCATATATCCTGGATTCTTTCAAGAAATGGTTGATTGAGATCCTTGGATCACTTGGCTACTCATAACCAAACAGACTAAATGGGCCGATTGATCTTCTCTAGTCTTCCTTATGTTATTCTGACTTACATACATCTTGCCTTGACAGACACAAGGTTAGAGATGGAATGTTTTTTATCCAACTTTGATGACACCTTGCTTTTTTAATTTGTTCTACAGTGGAATAAAGCAGTTGAACTTGCAAAGAATCACAACATGAAAGAGATTGGATCATTGTTGTCCAAGTATGCATCCCATCTGTTAGACAAGAATAAAATCCTGGATGCAATAGAACTGTATAGGAAAGCACATCATTTCCTGGATGCTGCCACACTTATGTATAAGGTATGGTCTTTTTTATGTTGGGGATATGGCTTAAATGGCCTTGTGGTGAATTCATAAGGACATTCTACAGCTAATACTAGTGATGCAGTGTATCATTGCTTTTTAACTAAGTGATGGTAGCACATCTACCTAACTGTATAGGATTGCCATGGCATCAGATTTGACCTGACTTTGTAGCTAACCTATTCTCTTTCTATAGTGTTTTATTTGCATTAGTTCCAATTCACAGTCTGCATTTCAAATATTCATTTCTTAAACTTTGCCTTTCCTGAACTATCTTTGAAAGAGCTGCAGGAGTCTTTTTGCTTTATAATTTTACATTTAAAGTTTTAACTCCTAAATTGTTTGTCATCTCTTGTACTTACAAATAATCTAAATTGTATATATATTGTAAAGTGCCTGGGATGAGGATGTCTCAAAATGAAACAAATGCAAATACATAACTTTTTGCCCCTTAGAAGATCTCCAGCTGCATTCAGTGTACTTCCATGTTCTTTTTGTGGTGTAAAAAGCAGAATTTAAGAGTTCAAAGAGTAAAATCCTATAGTGTACAACTTACCTCCTTATGATGATCAAATTTCATTTAGACTCATTGCCTTTACAAGCAGTTGGACATACTGTTTACCTAAACTTATTTTGGTACTGTATATGCACTGGTAATTAAGAATAAGGAAAAACTACTAAAGAAATAGGTTTTGACATGGTTACAGATGGGTAGATAGAGAGTAGATACTTCTGCAAGGCTGTTATTGTAAACCCTGAATGTTCAATTACAGTAAACACAACAAAAAGAAAACTCTGGTGGGAGAAAGCTGAGGATGTATTGAATGCATTGATTTTTTTTTCTACAGTACCCGTATGTGAATTTAAAGAATGCCCTGTGTGTGATTTTAGATTGCTGATGAAGAAGCAAAAAAGAGAACCAAGCCATTGCGTGTTAAGAAGCTCTATGTTCTAGCAGCACTCCTTGTGGAAAATTATCATGGACAGATGAAGTCCACGCAGAAGGGAAAAGCTAAAGGGAAGAAATCTGAGGTATTTTTAGCTATTCTGAGGCAACAGAAATTTTATGTTAAATATTAAAAAGTAATGCAAATCATGAGAGAACAAATGCCCGCTTATATTATTTTATTATCAACCTGACCCTCATCAGGACAAGGTGATTAGGTTTTTGACTATTTACATAAAGTTATTTGCACATACAGTACTGAACATTTTTCAGATGCAAGGCATTTCTCCAGCAGGATCCTATATGGTATTAACAAGGTATTAACCTTGAGATCCCTGATTTTTCTCTTGGTGAGTGATAAGTTTAAAATAATCAGCAGACCTGAAGTTCTTTTAAGATGTCCTTACAACAATAACTGCATTTGAAAAATTTACTCTGGCTCCTACTAATTAGGAATTCCTGTGACACTACCCTTCTGAGACATTTGTAACTTAAAATGTAACAACACTATATGCATGGTCACTTTTCACTACATTTTTCCAACCCAAAATGTATTTCTTGAAACATTAATTTTTTTTCTAGTAATGTTTTTTTTCCATATTTGATATAAAAAAACACAAAATAATTTTTCAAAATCTGTTTATATCATGTTATTTTTTGTTTTGGTTAAATGCATGTCAATTTCATAATATATGGTTTTAATTTTTAAACAGGCAACATCTGCACTAGCAGGTTTACTGGAGGAAGATGCTACCTCATCAGATAATCGCATTATTGACAGTGCTTGGCGTGGAGCTGAAGCGTATCACTTTTTCCTTCTTGCTCAAAGGCAGCTTTACGAAGGATATGTTGATGCAGCAATGAGGACAGGTACATCTTTTTTCTTTCTACTGGAGCTTACGCGTAGCACAGTGGTTAGCATTGCTGCCTCATAGTGCCGGGCCCCTAGGTTCGATTCCAGGGGTGCTATAACGTGGAGTTTCTATGTTCTCCCCGTGTTTATGCGAGTTTCCTCCCAAAGTCCAAAGAAATACCGGTAGGTTAATTAGCTTCTGGGAAAATTGGTTCTGCTGTGAGTGTGTGTGTTTCTGTGTATGTGCGCACCCTGCAATGGACTGGTGTCCCATCCAGGGTTTATCCCACCTTGCACCCCTTGCTTGCCAGGACAGGTTCTGACCCCCCATGACCCTGTATAAAGCAGTTAAAAGTGGATGGATGGAGCTTTGCCAGAGTTAGCCATATCAGAATCATACTGAAGTGTACATCAATTCTGGTGTCTAGTTAGTATCAATGGATCAATTGCCTATATCAGGACATTTGTGTAATACCTCAGCAGAAGATGTAGTGGTTTATATCATTCCTGCATAATTTTCAGAATTGATTCTTGTCAGCTTGTCCCATCACACAAAAGACATCCCTGATGAGCATGAGGCCAGGCTTAGATACAATATGTACAATAATCATAAGAACATAAGTAAGGTTACCAATGAAAAGAGGCTGTTCAGACCATCTAGCCTGTTTGGTAGTTAGTAGTTAATTGATCCAAGAATCTCATCCAGTCATTTCTCGAAAGGAACTAGTGTATCAGTTTCAGCAACATGTCTGGGTAGCTACCATACTCCCACATCCCTTTGGGCTCCTTTACCCAAAGGGATGCCTGTGGTGTGTTTCACTGTGCATTATGAAAATGTCTGCTGGGTTCACCTTGCCAATGCCCTTGGATACACAGATTTTGAATACTTGGATCAGTCCTGGCCACTTAGCCAAGGAACCTAAAAGGAAAAAGTCTATACCATCTCAAGTTTGAACAGTCAGTGATCTGACCAGACTCTAAACTTTAAAGTGGTCGAAAGTGAAAGTAAAGAGGTTTTGAGATCAAAGTTTTGACGTTAACATTTTACTAATTCATCCTGTCCGTTACTTTTTTATATTTTTATGGTATGTTCTTTTTATGCAAGTCCGCTTGCAGAAATTCCAGTCTACAGCCATGGTATTCCTTCCATAAACTGAGGCAGTTCCTGCGGTTGTCTCACTTGTTTTCTACATTCTGTATGCTGAAATGTCGATAAAAGTTAAGTTAAATAAACTTCACACAAATTCATGTGTGTTATTAGCAGTATTACAAAACACTGACAGTAAGCTTATTTATTTAAGAGCCTCATTTGTACAGAGTGGATTTACTGCTTTTTTGGCCCAAGACATGTGGGTTTTGTTTATGCATTCCCTGCCTTAAATCACCTTTATGGACCTAAAGTGTCAATGTAAGTCTTGAAACTACTCATGCGATCATTCATCCTTTGTACTATGAGTTGTTGATGTAGTTGATGTAGAAATACACATCTGAACGTTTGGTTGTATAGAGACTAAACATAAGCAAATATGTCTACGTATGGAAAGAGCTCCATTATACAGTGCTGTCAAACAGCAAATATTTTGTGAGGTCAGCCTTTGCTTTATACAAGACCCCACTGTACTGATCAGATTTACTCCAAATATAGGGATCTAGTCCTTTCCTGACAGGAAGAGGATTTAGTAGATGTTTTTATCAGAGATCAGGTAAGAATAAAATTGTACAATTCAGTGTTATCCTGGAAGTAATCACTGTTTTTGGTGACTGATTACTTGGTGAAAAAGTACTGTAAACTTGTGTATTTCATACCAACCAAGTCATTTTAGCTTACTGGAAGTAGCAATGGGAATATACCAACAGGAGCGAAGACTTCTACAGTTTAGATTTTACTGGCTTGATTGGATTAATCAGCAGTGGTTTTCTATTGGTGGATACTTTAATGAGCTTTCTTTCTCTTGCAGCCCTTCACCTGCGAGATTATGAAGATATCATCCCTGCAGTGGAGATCTACTCCCTCCTTGCAATCTGTGCCTCTGCTAACCGTGCATTTGGTACTTGTTCCAAGGCTTTCATTAAACTGGAGTCCCTGGAGTCCTTATCTGCTGAGCACAGGCAGCACTATGAGGATCTAGCGCTGGAGATCTTTACAAAATACAGTCCCAAAGATAACAGAAAGTCTGAACTAGACAGCATTCCTGAAGGGTATGTTAAAAAAGAAATCTTTTTAATGATAATGGTGCATTTATATGTGTAACTGTTCACTGGTTAGCTTCTGTCCATCTGGGCCTGGGAATGATACAGTAACTCAGCAGTAATAAACTGTGCCTTTCTTAAAGGAGAATTGGATGATTTATTCTCCTGTTTTATTAAAGTCCATTCTGTTCATGTTAAATATAGTATCATTTAATATATACCTATTGTAACAAAATAACAGTATTAAAATTTAAGATTCTAACATCATCTTGCTGTGCAAGCAAATAATAAAGATTAATGCTTCATCCCCCTAAAGTCAGGGATTACTAAGCATTAGACAGCACATGTCTCCTTTCATTCTGCAACACAGCTCCGATGATAATGTACCAATCAGGCTTAAATTTAGACAAGACAAAGATGTATAAACAATACACCCATACAACACACTATAGACATATATGTACAATCACTGGGTTTCAAAGTCCTACTTACTGTACTTCAGACTTAGAAAATTCCATAATTCTGCCCCCGTAATCTAAATACACCAGAAAACACTTAAGAGAAAACACATGCATCCTAATAAAAATCGAACTTAACCAGGACTAAATCCCCCTCTTTAAAACATGGATGCCCACCAGTGAACGGTAACTAATTTCCCTTTTCTAACAATAAATAACTAAAATAGGAGAGGTGTTTTTAGTCTGAGAAAAAACAGAATTTCCTAATAGAAAACAGACAACAATCTTCCTTGTAATAATGCTTACATCATCATGACCGTTTGGATCTCAATCAGGTTAGAAAATAGTATCACTGCTTTGGAGATGATGATGATGAGTGATGTTCAGTCAGTTTTCCCTTCCTCTTCTTTCCTGTCTTCCTTCTGCTTGACTGTTCCCGTATTTATGCTGGAAGACTAGATCTAGAGTTAAAGTTTTAGTTAGGAAAAGGGTTAAGGTTAAAGCTTTGAACAAGGTCATTGGTGCAGCTAGGGCTATGATCTGGGTTACATTTGGAACCTTTGGTTAAAGTTAGAACAGGACATGAGGTTAAGGTTCATTTTAGGTTTAGAGGTAGATTTAGGGTTAAGGTTATGATTAAGGTTAAGGTAAGAATATTGAGGGTGATGGTTTGGCCGGTTGTGTGCTTGAGATGGGAATTAGGGTGAAGGTTATGATGAGTGAGAGTTAGGTGTGGAGCTCAAGTGAGGCTAATGTAAGCAGTCTTTTAAGAAAGATGAAATGTTTAGCTTTTACTCGCGTTGTATTTTCAAGTCGGATGACATTCTGTTGAGATAGAAAGTAAACTGGTTTATATATCATTGCTTGTTATAGTACAGTCCACTGCAAGTATTTCAAAAGGTTTTTACTGTAAAATAAACGTAATAGAGCTGCAGTACTAGTTATAAATATATTCTTATTTTGTTTTTTTCAGAGGAGAGGGGATGTTGCCGACGTGTATAGTAACTGGGCGTCCAATTTCAGAGTACCAGTTCTGGATGTGCAGTGTGTGCAAGCACTGTGCCCTGGAACAAGAAATAACCAATCACAGCTTCTGCCCACTGTGCCACAGCTCACTGGCGTAGACCACAGAACTGCATGAACGTTTCTACGTTTAAATTCTTTAAGAATTATTCTCTGTTTTTCAATATATGTTTCTTATGTACTTACATTTTGACTGATTGCTAAATCAAAAAAGAAATAATACATATACTTAGACTTTTTACAAAGTTTTTAATTTTTTTTTCTCTGGTTTCTTGAAGCTAATGTGGCATTTATGCAGTTTTAAAAATGCACTTCTGATAAAAATACATCATTGATTAAATATCAATGGGACACAATGTTTTGATAAAACATTCACAATTAGATGCTGCCTTTAAATATGCTCATATATTTTGTAATGGTCACTTTGTATTGTATATTGCACTCATGTTAACGTGGTACAACTCTATAAAACTCCTCATTAAAATTATTTTCATCTCATTTACCTTGTCTTTTCTTTATTAAATAAAAATACTTTTGTGTCCAAGCTGAGATCATTTATTGCTGCCACTAAATGGGAAAGACCATTTTAACAGAAAGAAATAATGATTTTGAAATGATCATTAGGAAAGAGCATGAATGGAAAAACTGGTAGCTGGGATTGGCAGTTGCAGGAGAGGGGGCTTGAGGAAAGATGTTTTAGAAGAGCTGCCAGGAAGGACACATTGAAATGAATAGATGCTGCTGGATAAAAGAAAGAAACATAGAGGGTGAAGAGAAATGCTTCAGGCAGGAAAAGATGGAGAAACAGGAAGTGGTAGTAACACCCTGGTCAATATTCTTGTTCTGCCTGTGTTTGAATATCAACCATGATGAGTTTGATGTTGAAAGTGATTTGGGACACTGAAGATATCTACTTTCCTTTTTTAGTACAGAGTTTCACAAGCCTAGTCCTGGAGTTCCCCTTTGTGTTCTGATGATTGTTCAAATCAAGATAAGTTACATTTAGTGAAAACTCGGTTTAACCGAGTGCTTGATTTTTTAACTATTTTCTGCTCTCAAGGCCTTTGTTTCAGAAACTATACTATCCATCTAAGAAATATGGCAAACAGATCTCCATTTCAACATATTAATAATTGTATTCCCTCATTGTTAAGTTTTTAGTTATAGTCATAATCTAAAAAGTGCTATTGGTTATTAATGATGTACAGAAAAAGGAGGGAATGATGCTGTATTAAACACTTCCATAAAAAACCTTTGTGATGGACAGACATATAGGTTACATTTCACCTGCTAATTTAAAAAGCTTCTCTAAGTTCTAAGTTCTCTAAATTCTGAAACACTATGTGGCACAAGGCTCATGTAAATTTCTAAGAAAGAAAAAAAATATTTTTTCCTTATTTAATGAGAGTTGAAACTGTTAAAAATGTAAATGTTAAATAAAAATAATTAAGAAAGAGCTTGGCTGGAATGAAAACCAAAAGAAACAGGGTACTCCAGGACTGGGAAAGACTGTTCTAGTTTGTCATTAACAAAGGCTGGGTTGTGCATGGTGGTACATTGTGCAGTATGGATGAAAAATGATAAAATACTGTAAGAGCTATTTGAATTCTCAGGATTTTCTGAAAGTTATTGAAACATTAAATTAGAAAACTAGAAATAATACAATAGGGCATTAGTAGTTCTCATGACAGGTTACTGTATACAATTATCCAGTTATTGTAGTACATTGCCACCTTCTGGCTACACGGTAAATTATCTGCATTGTAGAAATGGGATCAACCAAGTTTTTTTGATAAAAAGGAAAAACGCTTTTTTATCTTTACTGCAGTTGTCTGTACCGTACTACGTGTTGAAATGTAGGATACATGCAGTGCGCTGCAACTGTCCATCGTCAGATTATAAAAATTTTCTGACGCTTGTACTTGTTAACTCTGTCAAGTACCCTAACTCATCTGTTTAAACGAAGAATTAATCTAATGTGAAACTGGTTTTAATGGTGTTTTTGAAGCCTTACATACATAAACGTACCATAGTTGTTTGGGCGTTAACCTTTTACACATCTTTAATTTGTAGTGACAAATTAGTTGCAACAAAATAAGGTAAAAAATGCTTTTGTATGTTCTTAAAAGACCCTGCTTAGGGTCCATGCATTTTCTAACCGTTTTATCCAGTACAGGGTCGCGGGGGAGAGAGTCCATCCCGGCAAACAAAAGGCGACAGTGCACCCATCGCAGGGCCTATTTTCCCAGAAGTCAGTCAATTTACTATCATGTCTTTACTTTATGAGCAAAACCAAAGTCCACAACGGTAGTACGAGGCAGTAATGCTAATCACTGCACGCAGTCTTTGCTTAGGGACTTTATTTTTTAAAATAAAAAGCACGTGAAAAAGGAAAGCAAGTAACAATATATAAATACTTTATAGCCTTTGCTGAAAGTTAATAACTTCGCAGAATGGAAATCCACACACGACCAATGAAATCACAAATGAAACCACAAAGTAATATTTGCCTACCGGGATAACAGCACAGAGACCCACCCCTTGACTCGGAGTGACGAATTGGATAGGTCGCTATTCTTGTAGTATTACGTCATATCCGCAAGCCCTTGGTAAGGAGGAAGAAGGGTCGAGTGTGTGCTAATATTATCTGGCTGGCTGATACATGGAGGTGGATCAGTCAAACCTTTTCAAACAAGCTAATGCCGAGTTTCATAAGCAACATTTTAAAGACGCAGAGCGACTGTACACGCAATTCATCAAGTCTTGTGAGCACGGCAGGTATATTACGGCAGTTTAAGAATAAGATTATATTATGCTATATTAGATAGCAATGATTTTTTTTTCCGCAGGCCTATTTTAACAACAGTAATAGTCTTGATCAGGTGATTAAATTGGCTTTAGGGTGAGCCAGAACTAGTTATAAGTAGTCTTAAAGCCGTGTTTTATCTGTAGAAACTATGTCTCATTGTCTCTCCCTCAAACGTACGTCATGACTTAGATTTTCGTTCAGGCTCTTGCTGGATGATTTTCTTTTTTAGGAACCGTTGTGTGGAAGATCTCGCTGTGGCTTTTAACAACCGCGGACAGATAAAATACCTAAAAGTGGATTTCTACGAAGCCATGGAAGATTATTCTGCAGCTATTCAAACGAAAAACAGTTTCGAAGTGCCATATTACAACAGAGGATTGATACGGTACAGGCTAGGTACTGTTATGTCGTACCTTAGTTTTAAAATACAAATTTAGTATAAAGACATTTTTTCCACGTAAGAAACGTAAGTTTGTAAAGCGAGCTGAGGTCAATCGGACATCAGATTTTATTTCCCTGTTCTGTACAGAATGTAGGATATTTCGCTGGAGAAATAGAAGAATGCCTCTTACATAAGAATTATTCTTTCCTATTTTCCAGAGATGGTTATGTAAAAGAGCTATTCACGTTTAAAAACTAGATGTATAGTTGACGAGAACTGGAACAAAATTTGACAGCCTTATTTGCCCAATTTGTCTTCCGGAAAATGTGACAGTGCAGGAAAATTGATTCTGGCTACATGCGAGATGAGTGGGAAGAGCCCGATTCTTAAACTAACATACTGTACTTGGACATTGCACATACTGTACAGTAGTCCTTTCATTCATGAGAAATTATTCGAATTCATAGTATAAATCCTAGGTTCGCTTTTAGACACCATCCCAATACTTTTGAACCATATTTTCAGTTCACTTTGATATCACTCTCTGTAAAGATTTAAGTACTCATTGTAATATGTTGAATTTTAAAATAGAACATTTTTTAAAATGTTTCTTACAGGAAAGACCTGTTGAGTTTAGAATTAATACAGTGGTATGATTATGCATTTCATTTATAAAATTAAAATTATTTCCTGTTACTAATGTGGTAGACAGTTTTCTTGGATGAGTCTTTCCATTGTTAAAAACGTGAAAACAGTTCTTGAAAACTGAAGATAATAGAAGGGCTTTATTGTTTTTACTTTCACAGGGTTTTTTGAAGATGCAGAGACAGACTTCAAGAAAGCACTGGAGCTGAATCCTAGTTTCAAAGATGCTGAACTCAGCTTGAAACAGACTTTAATAGACAAAGAACAAAAGTTAAAAAGAGGATATTAAAGGGTGTATTATAAAACACTTGATTTTACCAATTTATCACTGATGTCCCTTGATCACATCTGGGAGAGGAGAAACAAACGCTCAGTATTGCAGTTTCTAGATGTACAAAACATGATAATACAATACACCATTCCCATAATCCAAAAGAGAACAATTTTATTTAATCCCTTTAAAGAAAAAAAAACAATAATGTGTGTTACGATGTTGCAAAATACAACATCTTTGTTAAATAGATCATAGAGGTGGCCCACTATGTGAAGCAAGTTTATATTGCAATTCTTTCTTTAGGGAAAAAGAGAATGCACCAAAACGTTTGATCTGTGCTTTTCTTCAATACAATTTAGTCCAAGAGTTATTTGAAAAAATCCTTGGTGCTCATGGTTAGTCTTTGAAATACGCCACTAAAGAGAGGGAACCTACAAGAAATTCTGAATGTATCCTAAAATCATATAATTGGTAGAACGTAACACAGATGGAGGCCAATTATGATTTCAAAGGCCATGGGTTGAGCTGACTGCCGATTGCTATTAAAAGGGGATTATTACAATAGTCCAACCAGGATTATTTCAGTTTTATTTTTAATTTTCTAAATATTTTGAGAATATTATTTTCACTTGGAAGCTGTAGAGTGGTATGTGTAAATAAATTAAAAAATATTTTAATGCATTAATTCCAGGTTATTAGTCATCAAAAGGTGAAAATTGGGAAGGGGTGTAAACTTGATTTAAGAAATGCAAGCATGCTACAATACTAGAGATAAGGGCATGTAACTACCTATGCAGTAATCTTATTAACTGTAATGAGCTGCAAAAGAACCAAGTACTGCTGCTGCAGATTGGAATTTCATCATGTGGAGGATCACATTGGCTATAAATTTAATTGCTAAATGATACACACAAACACAAGTGAACCCATTTGTAAATTGTATTTGATGATAGACTACATTTAAGAGTATGAAATACTTCAAATGTAAATCTTATACACTTTCATGTGCTGCATTTGTTGCACTTCATCTGAGAGTGTTTTCTAATGTAGGGCTGTAGATCATCACTATGTGAGGTTGTTAGGCCTCTACAGTTTGGTTGTAATGGGATGTGTACAAATGTGTATTATATATAGATAAAGAATTGTGCATATTATATTAGTAATTTCTATTTTATAACTTTAAGAAGTTGTAACATGCTCTTCTGCAGACTGCAATGTAGGAATCAGTGTTAATACATTTCTTAATTACCACCTAGCGACTTTAAAGGTTCCTGGGCCCTTCTCCCTGCACAGGTTCATTGCATCCCCCAGAACCACCAACACACCCACAAACTAGGATAAAAGGCAAACTCATATAATTGCAGTTTTTAGTTCCTCCAGCAGTTACAACAAGGTATCACTGTCTACACACACAATTAACACCATACCTCCAATTGCTTTCTCTTGCCATGCCCCATCCACCCAAAAGTAATCCAACACACTCCACCGAATCAGCTCATTCCAATCATCCAGGCACATTTCCTTCTGCCAAGCCGAAGAAAAGCTCACTACAGCCCTTTAGTTATCTATAGCATTCTCTTTTGAGAAAAGTCACAAACAACATGTTCCACTTTACCTTTCTCTCTGCAACAAACACAGGTTAGGAGAGTAAGGCCCAGGCTATCTAGGCCTCTGTGAGGCCTATCTATCCTCTTTCCGGCCAGGACTCTCGAATATGAAGAAGGGGTGGAAATGTGTTGATGATCATGGTGAGGATTAGGAACTACTGTAACTGTATGCAGATGACTGGGTGTCACTGTCAATTGTTTTCTTTTGTCCATTGTCTTTCCTGTCTGTTCCAGGTGTACTCTCAAGCTGTTCAGCATCATTGAAAATCTAATGTGTCACCCTTGACTTTGTGGAAATTGATGGATGTCTAGGCAAACTGTGAAACTCAATTTGTGATCATCACCTGCTATGTGGTCTATAGAGTGGGAAAATCACAAAGAGAAAGAGAACAAATATCATACCAGACAAACATACTGGCCATTGCGTGCAAAAGTTAAATATAGCCCCAAATACTCTGCCTTACAGCTTTGTCATGACAAATATTCACATCTACAATAATTACTGTATTCATTCTAATTACAGATAGCATTACTATAAAGTGCCAGTTCATGGAACTAGATCTCATTTAAGTAAAAAGTATCTGCATATACATTTTTTGAAACTGTAAATATACTGTAGCTCCAAAAAGGTAAATATAGGAGTGTTCTGTCACAGATCTTTATTTCTGGTCATTTTAATTCAGCACTTTTCCTCTGACCTTGTAAGCATTAGCTATTTTTGTGGTAATACAATTCTTTAGTCCTCAATGCTTTTTGTTTACTTTATTTTTTTGCAATCAATGTTTCTCTCTTCTATGTTAGTATTAGTTTTATAATAATTCTCTGAGTTTCAACATCTTCCTTTTGAGCTGAAGAGCTCATTGTTCTTATCTATCCAGTCATGCTGGCTGTGTTGCTGTCCCTGTCTCTCTGCACCCTTAATCTACCTCTTGCAACTGTCCACTCCACTGACTCAATTCAGATGAGTCCAGGCCTGAAGGACCCTCACTGTCAGGCCCTGAAGTGCCTTGGCATTCATTTATGCAGTCACAACACTGTTTCTGTAACCTTGTGTTATCATAAATGTATTGTGTGAAAGTGCATGATGTTACAATAGGTTGGGTGGTATGAGCATGTAAGATAAGATCACTTTATTAACCATAGACAATTTCTTGTATTAGGAATTTCTTTTCACATACCCCAGCTTGCTATTCATGAGACACACAGGGAGAGAAGCATAGGGTCAGAACCCCAGCTGCTCTTGGGGCTTGCTGAAGGGCCCACCGGACCAGGATTTCTCTGCGGACCACAGGATCTGAACTTGCAACCTTCCAGCCACAGGCACAGATCCTTAGCCACAGAGCTACCGCTTTGTACTATGTGGCGTAGATATGAGATTACACTACAATCACCCCACCTGTTGAGTTGTCCTGACAGTCACTTTGTGAAGTGAAGGACTGGTGCCATCATAGCACAGGTGATGGATTAGAAATGTGGGGCATCAGCAGTAGATTTACCTCTCCTTTGTGTCACTTAAAGGAATGCTGAACATGAAAAGGTGCTGATATTGAAAATATCCACATGAATTTTAAAAATGTTTTCTGCTGCAGCACTCCCTTGAAGTGCCAGCAAACAAGTTAGATCATCAGCCATAGACTGAAAAGAGTGGCCAATGTGAACCTGTAGAGATGGAACCACACAGGGTTTCTGGGTCCTCAATGGGCCACCATTCAGCACATGAGCCTCATTTGAGTCATTGATACTTCCAAAAAAAGCAAAAACATAATACAGCATGCCACTCCACCAATCTCAGCCACTCTTGCATTTAGCAAAGCATAATTCAATTACCTTGTGTATTCATTCCACTCCTGTAACTTGATAGCACCTTCCCCTTTTACAATGATTTTGTACCATTGACTGTACTTATACATAAAGCTGAGACAGACTGTTCTAGCCAGCCCCTTGATAGCAGGGCATGTTACTGTTAGAATATTGCATGTCTACTTCCAGCATCCCCCATGTGAAAGTTGGCACCAGTAGATGGCTGTATGCAGGGATGCTGGCATTGAAACTGCTCAAATGCAGCTCCCAGGTAGTGGTGCACCTCTCATCTCTGCCACCAACCCCATTTCATATTTAATGCATTCTAGAGCTTGAGCTGAAGTAGAGCTTCTGTGCACTTTTGAATATGAAGTCATGATTGCCATTATGCATCATACTGATTAAACACTTTCATAGTAATATCAGCTGTGATTAGTTTGCCATTGTTTTGTACCATCAAGTACAAAATAACTATTCTTGAAAAGTTCTGAAATGTAGAGCAACTAAAATCAGAACAATTTCCAGGAACAGTTTAAAAATGAGGTACAGCCATTTAAGTCACATTTAGATACTGGAACCTTACCTACAATCCAAAGCAATAGGAGGGGAACAAGCTTTTAGGCCCCACTCAGTTAGCCCACAACAGAACTTGGCAACAATGTCATTTGCCACTTAAAAACAAAACAGCTTGTCTGTTCACAAATCACTGCATCCTCCCACATGTAGTGCTGTACCCAATGAGTAGCAAGATTTTTACACTAAAGCAGGAATCACAGGAGTTACTGAAACCACTGGCTATACTCACATTTGCCATCTCGGAATGGAATGCCTTTTAAAATCAAAACCACAGTAGGCAGGGTCCTATTATACAAAAGAGCCTGCACCACAGTAACAGTGGGCTGAAGCCAAAGGCCAATTGTAGTTCTTTAGTGGTAAATCACCTGTGCACAATCCCATACCACCAGCACTACAATATAGGAAGCTTTAAAAACACATTTTAGGATTTCTCAAATTCTAGAGAATCTATTTACATACCTAGTCCAGTATGTGCCAAAACTGGTGTATCAAAATGAACCAGTTGTTTCAACATAAGAGCATAACCATGTTATGGAACATGAAGATTAGGACTAATTTGACAATAAGAGCAATCTTTATTCTTCTATTTGAGCAAAACATTTACTCACTATTCTATTCCTTGAAATGCCTACTTCCTCCAAACTAAGAAGTTAAGTTTTGAGTACCCCAACTAGAATTTATCCTACATACTGCAGGTATCAGCAGCAATATCAAACACCACCCTCAAATAGTATACTTTAATGCATAATTAAAATTTTAGTTGAATGACCGGTGCTTAAATCATGTCCAACTAGTAAGTTACCTTAGATTACTACAATACCTTTCCTTAATACAGAAGGCCCTAGTCCTGTATATTAAGGCAGTAGCTGTAACTTTGGGTTCATTACAATAGAGCTTATTACAGAAATAGGAACTATTTATCACAATTGACATACTTTAGTACTAGCTAAAAAGTACATGTCAGGTTAGGGATAAATTGCACCCAATAAAAAAAAAAAAAAAAGCAGTGCTTACAAGTCCATCACACACTATTGAATAGATTGTGACAAGACTAAAATGTTGCAAACCCCAAAATACTTTGAACTAGAAGAAATGCTGTAAATCCACTAGACTAAAATTTGAATTTGTGCCCATGGGTGGAGTTGAGTAATTGAAACTCAAGTTAAGTGTTAGAAACTCAATTCATGGCATGAAGTAGATTTATCCTTAAGGAAAAGGAAGCTGTTCCAAAGGGGAGAAACCATTCTTTCATGGGAACAGGATCACCCAAGTACAATACATTCCTTAAATTAGTATGCAACCTCAGTTCCATGAGGACTTAAGCTATGAAAGCCAACTCCAACAGGAGAGCCCCCTGCCCCTTTAAGGTATTATATAGCCTGTAGGGTTAGTTTCCAATAAACACCAAGAAATCAGATTTGGCCTTTTATTTAGGTTCAACACATTTTGGAACATCAAAACAGTAGAATGCATTTATGGCATGCATGCATTAGCCCAGACCTGCAGACAAAAAAAAAAAAAATATATAAGTGGAATAGAACTAAGTGACAGCAGAAAATCATTTTAAAAGAGTCTCACCAGTTAAGGTATAAGATTTTAGGGTTCCAGAAGTATTAAGCCAGATGATACATATGCCCTCCTGTGGTCATAGTCAGCACTGCGCACTGTTGAAGAGACCAAGTAAGTCATTCTTTACAAGGCCATTTGGAATAATCGTTCACTATCTGGGTTGAGTCTTACCTTGCCTCTGTTTACTCGGAATGCACTGGCCACGGCAAAGCTTGTCCGAGGGGCTGTTAGCATCACAAATTACAACATCACAGTGGAAGTAAATCTAATGGGAGGGAGAAGAAAAAAAAAAGCCTTTAAAGAGCCATCACTACTTGTTTGTTCAAGCCAAGACCTTCCCCTTCCCCGCTCTTTACCTCGCCTTTTAGTGCAGCATCATCTTTAGTAAAAGAGAACATTTTTACTTCAAATCTCTTCAGGTGACTTGGAAATGGCACTCTTGTAGTCTTGGAAACTGGATGGAACACAGTCTTGTACAGGTCAAGAGAGTTCTCACAGCTGAGAGAAGAAAGAAAAGTTAGACCAGTTCACAAATTTGCATGCAGTTCCAGTTACCAGACACTGGAAGTTACCTGTCCACAATGACATCCCACTTAGGGAAGCTGTTTCTGTCAGCACTACCAGTTGCCCAGCAGTCTTCCAGGAACAGTTCCACTTGAGGATCACTGCTGTAAAGGAGTCTGACCTCAAAATAGAGAGGGGCTCTCAAGTACTTCACAACAGGGTAGTCTGAAGTTGTATAGAACTCATTGTAGGATCCATCTGTAATAACATGGGAGATTATTCAGGAGATGTAGGATATCTACTCTAAAACTAAAGGTGGAAAGGTAAGAAACCAAACCCTCACCTACTGAGAGGGTCATCACAACAACCAGCTGACCTAGAGCAGGTTCTGGGACAAAGGGAAGGTTGTTCTTGGTGTCAAATCTTACCACCTTTGTGTCATTGATCTTATAGTAACAGGTAACCAAAAACCTACAAAAAGGAGAGGCAAGCCATTAGTACAGCAAGAGCTCCAGCTGGATTCTTATGAGATGTTCACATAGTACTCACCTATATTGTGGGTCAGAGGTTGTCATCAGGACTTCATTTTCATAAATCATTGTGTTCTGAGAAAACTGGAAAGAAGTTAAGGGAGTTAGAAAGTATAAAATGACCTCCACCAGATTGGGGAAAAGCTTGGAATTCATGTTACCTTCCTAGTTGTACCACAGGTGTTGACATTGAACCTGAACACTGCCGTGACCGAATCATACTGAAGAGGTGTACATCTTGGATCCCTCAAGGTTAGGGACCCTGGGTTAAGATCAGGTACCGATTCTACTTTCACAGCAATAGTTGGCATAGTTCCATTGGAAAGGCACTCTAGGAGAGGACAGGAAAGGTGTGATTGAGCAAGACTCCCTATTAGTATTAGGATATACCCACCCAGTTAAGCAACTTACCAATCAGTTTCACTGGAAAGCTACAGGAGAGAGAGAAACTTGCAGAGACCCAATGCCTCTCTTCATCTACCAGTGTAAGATCCAGTCTGCTTCTCAACTCTGAAGACTTGATCACCTTTGAAATAAAGCAATGTAGCATTATAGGTATTGGACCATCACTCCCATTTAGGTTAGAACCCATCCTAAACAACTGGGACATTGAAAACCACACTGATAAAGTCAGATGAAGAGTTACCTCAAAAACAGCATCAGCACAGTTATATGGTAAAGTCATCCAGATGTATGTGGAGTTCTCAGTATAGCCATAGTCTGAAGCCATTGAGGGAGTAAGTTGCCTTTTGCCCACAAAGATAACAAAGTTATGGCCTAGGTTTCCAAGTTTGATTGTCACGTAGAATTGGGTCAGGCTGCAGTAACCAGTTACAGATGGGGGAACTGGCAAGAAAAAAAAAAACAGTCATTTCCCCCCTCTGTGTGGGGGTCATGGATGCCAACAATCAAAGCCATTACTTACCAATGTCTTTCAGGCTGGCAATAATCACAGCTGGATAGGTAAAAGGGGTATTCTGAGGCACGATATTCAAGCCATACACCAAGGGCAGAATGTAAGTTGTAGTGTCTGGAGAGGTTGGCTGCAACAAAAGTTAATCATTAGAGAACTCCATTTCACTTGCAACCCTCCCACCAAACAAGAAGTCAAGGTTACCTCTTTTGAGACATGTGGGCTTTCAAAAGGCACCTGAAGAGTAAACCACTTTGAGCCATTAGGAAACCTGTGCTCCTGGACATTATAGCCCAGCTGGTTAGCTTCTGGTATAGTAAGGGTTTCATTCCCAAAGGTGATATTCACAAGTTCCACATCAGGTAGGAATGAGTCCAGGGTGACATTGAACAGTCTATTAGCTGGCACGGTGTCTAGAAGGCAGGGAAGAGTTTCATGAGTCACTCATAAAGCCTTCATTGCCCATGAGCAAAGATCATACTTACCATTTGTTACAGTAGGGGGCCTTGGCATGAATGGTGTGGTAATTGGATGAAGGATCTTGTATTTGGTTTCATCATACACATCATCCTTCCACTGGTGTTCCAGCATTGGCTCAATTCTGTAAACTATTCCATAGTTGTTGTTCCTCACACGGCTCTGCAACAAGACATTCATGAGAATGAGACTACTGGCACAATTAAAATCCTTGCTTTGACTGGAAGATTAAGAAGCCTTCTTTATAGTCAGTTGCCTTTATTGGCTTAAGTTAGTTGTCAACAGGCTAATACTAACCTTGTAGTAACCACCCAATGCTCCCACTGGAAACTGGGCAGTTATTACTGCAGGGCCAACATCTAGGCTATAGTTGCGGTTTTGGATAGTTGTAGGGTCCAGCTTTTGGCCATTTATTCCCAAACTAATGTTAGTAGGCTCAAAAGCCTGTGGCGTCACAAGAGGAGAGATGATGTATGGGATCCTCCAGGTTATCATGTCTTCTGTGAAGGTGACACCATCTTGGAGTTTCGGGAGACAGGAAGAAAGCAACTGGTCAGTGGTCATGTGGGATTAGAAACACCCAATAGTGTTAATTGGTTAAAAGCTCACCAGCAGGGCAGGCGACAGCTGAATCCACCAGCATAACCATCCATTTTTGCTTATAAAATGTTGTTGCTCGGACAACTGCCATTGGCACAGAATCCAGCTAAAGCAGGAAAGAAAATGGTGTCAGATTAAGGCAAGAAACAGCCTGATCGAGAATAAGTGGGCCTTGTCATTACCATCTGCAATTGACTCTCTGATGTATTGTAAGCAGATCTAAGGACAAGTCTTGATGGAGTAGTCAGAAGCCCATAACCGCTTTCCTTAGCTTCTTCTGCAGTCATGGTCTTCTGAACAGGGAGGTAGAAGACCACCTTCCAGATTCTGTAAGCAGCCTTAGTAGCCTGTTGGGGTGGGAAGGAAGAGCAAGTTAGTGTATATCGACTTCCATCACTCAAGAGGTGAAGGCATTAGTCTTGCCTCTGTAAATGCTGCAGCCCAGTCATCATCTTGAAGACCTTGCTTTAAAGTAGGTACTCTTCTTCTCACTGACACCTGGGGGCAGGAGGCAAGAATCAGGTAGTGCCTAAAGTACCTACAATTGTGCACACTTCACTGGCAAAGGACAATATGTAGTCAATTGCTATTAAGAGACTTGAGTATCTCACCTCCATGTAGTTTCTTTCACAGAGGATTTCCCTGGCTGCCCAAGTGGAGTAGTTGCAGCTGATAGAATAATTATACATGGAGGCTGTAGACATGTCCACATTTGGTGAAATTCTAATTCTTACAGAGAGATTGAAGGTTGCATCCTCCTATGAGGAACAGAAGTATTGTTACTATTCTATAGTTACCAGAATAAGGCCTTCCCAGTAGGTAGAAATTAGCTCCATTACCACATTTTTAGAAAAGCAGTTCAGAACGGAGGCAAGAAACGTGGCGTTTCCCCAGTCATCCACCGTCAAACTGAAGCCACATTGTGCTGCGATCTCCGGTGTGATCGTAATGAACTCGGTATCATCTGGACAACACGAGAATGATTTATAGAAAAATCTACTTTGACACTAACCCCATAACTTTAGATAATTTGAGGATACTCACTGAGGGCATCAATCTGGAGATAATTCCCCCAAACAACGGAACTATCTAGGGTCATCATCATGACGTTGTCCAAGCATTGCGATTTTAAGGCATCTATACAAGAAGTAGATTGTTAAATTCATACAACTACGCAGAACCAACAAGGATTTACAGAAAATAAGTCGAAAAAGTTACCTGCTATAGTACTTTGCGTCTGGACTTTAGTTGCCATTAGTAAGAGCAGCACTACCGCTCTGCGTTTAACGAGAAAAAAAAAAAGTTGAACGGGGGAGGAAGAAAAAAAAAAACAAGAAGTGAAGCACGCACGAAAAGACTCACCCGAAATGAAGAAAACGTTCCATCATGAGATTAAAGGGAGCCAGAGCAGCGCAGTCCTGGCTTCGTCCCCTAAAATAGAAGCGAAGCAGCCACAAAAGAACGCGAGGATAAACAAAACCCAAAGAAGAGGGGAAAACCAATGCAATGGCTGTGCTTGCTAACAAACCCCCTGAGCGTGGTTTATAAAGAAGACAACCAAGCTGCGCGCACGTGATTACAGATCGGTCAATTATTAGTGCGCACCTGTCTCCCATTTGCAGGCCTGTTGTCAGTAGGACTTCACCTGTTGTTGGAAAATAGGGAAATAGATTTAGTGTTCATGCAGATGTCCGTGAAGAGATACTGATCCATTTTCAATAACAGCTTAATCCGAAACGGGGTTGGGGATATATCGACCCTTTAAATTGCAATTAAGAAGATTGAAGATTAGGGAATATAGTGTGCCTACCCGTTTTGACATTGAATAGCGTATAGTAACATTAACAGGAACCAACAACAACAACAACAAAACTACTTTCAGCTTCATTTAAACATTTTAAAGTGACATTTCAAGATGTTTTTTTTTGGCTGAAATTCTAATTGTTTACAAAGCACAAAAAAATGGCTTGCGCAACAGGAAAATTAGGACTACAATGAATCAAATGGTTAAAAGTACTCAGAAAACTGTACCCTAGCAGGCTACATTGTGTAGAATGTGAACAATTGTGAAACAAAGTCAGACATAACGTTGTTTTTAGACATCCTCAAAACCTTAATGACATGATTCAAAATGAACTAATACACAAGAACTACACAGTCTAATTCAGAGTGTTGCCTTCATTTCCACTAAGTGGCTGAGAGGAAAGCAACAGATAATTAATATGACAGAAAATGGGAAAGTATTTTAATTTTTTTTCTCTCATAAGTTTAACTTATTTTAGGCAAGCACAATGAGCTACAGTACATAGTTGAGGGGCTTCTGTGTGTAATAATAATGGTTCACATCAATAGATACACCTGTCGGTCTGTCACTTGAGTAAGATTTCTGTCAGGTAGTGATATTTCAAACAAAGATTCAACCATGAAAACTGAGGTGCTTCCAAAACAACTCAGGGATAAGGTTGCAGAAAGCACAGATCAAAATAAAGGGCTTAAACACATTTCTAAGGCACTGACTACCCTTTGAATACAGAAGTTGTGTCAAACTACCAAGACACAGTCTATATCAGACTGTCCTTCAAAATAGAGCAGGATGGCTAAGAAGAAACTGGTGAGGCATGACAATATGAGGCCAAGAATCACTTTGAAAAAGCTACAAAGTTCATCAACTTACTGTAGTTGGGAGAAACAGTCTGTGAGTCACAGCTGGCCTGTACGGTGGAGTGGCAAAAGGGAAGCCAGTACTAAAAAACTCCTGCACAGAATTTGCAGCATAGCATTTAAATACTACATATGCAAACATGTGGAAAAATCTGTTTTGTGGTCTCAAAACTGGATCACCTGGGTCTAAATGCTAAATGTTACATCTAGTGCAAACAACACAGTGCATCCTTCAGTCAAGCTATCCTGAATGTCAAGCATGGTGATGGCAGCATTATGTTATGGCTCTGCTTCCAATAGTAGGGACTGTGAAGCTTGTCAAGACTTGCGGGGGAAATGAATTGGACAAAAAGGACAGACGAGTCTTGGTGGAAAATCTCACGTTTATTCATCTATCAGAAAGCCACCTAGTTCCTGGCAAGGAAAGCAACAACCCAGAACCTTTTGCCAAAGGACAGGATACAAGGCAGGGCCACTGTCCTGGCTTTTAGTGATATTTTGATATTAACAGCAGGGTGGCTGAGGTGGCTGAGGCCATGCATTAATAATAATAATAATAATAATAATAATAATTGCTTACACTTATATCGCGCTTTTCTGGAAACTCCACTCAAAGCGCTTTACAGGTAATGGGGACTCCCCTCCACCACCACCAATGTGCAGCATCCACCTGCATGATTACAGAGGTTACATTACATTACATGCATTACAGAGGTTATTGTGCTCTCCTTGGCACTCTGCCCTGCGGGGACATTGCTTTTGCCTTCCTTCACAAGGGCAGTTGCAGTTAAACAAGAAGGTACAATATTCTTGGGCCTTGGTAGGTTGGCCTTATTTTGCATTGACAAGTTATGTTACTTATCTGTCACACAACTGCAGTACGGCAGGGGCATGAGTCTGTGAGGCTGTACTGGCTTTTAGAGGAGCCTTCAGTGTTCAAGCTTGCCCTGGACTGTTGTGTTCTACAGTCTTCTAGCTTTTCTGCTATTTTAGTAAGGAAAGTGGTCACAAAGGGTGACCATTTGCTGGATAAAAATCAAGAACGGGAAGAGTGCCGTTTCTCTGGCCTCTGAAATGGCAGCTGGATCAGTGCAGTTTAGCAGTCTGTTTTTAACATGGTGTCGGGACACAATGGGAAGCCCTTGTTTGGGAGTGGTACTGTAAGTCATTTTGTTACAGGGGATGCTGCTTCAGTAGCTGAGCCTTCTTTGATAAAGTCAATCTGTTGCATACATGTCTCTGGAAAATAACCAAAGAGAACCCACATGAACCTGGGGTTACACAGTGAAAACAGCCGTGCCACCTCAATAGCAATCAGAATATAGAAAGACAAACAAACAGGTGTTAATTACAGAAATATTTAGTCTGTTTCCCAAAGTAAATTTGTACATTCGTTTCCCACAATTGACATCAGTGCAAATACAAACCGAAGGCATGTACATTTGTAAGCTATAATCATTTTTTAATATCCAAGGCTGTAAAATTTAAATAGGATGTACAGGTTATTGAATGTATACTGTAGATATTCTCATATAGGATCATCCTTTTCATTTTAACAGATTTCTTTTTTGTGAGAGAAAATGAGAACAAAATCTTCCAAATTGCACATCTTTGATTCCAGTGTGTCTCACTTTTGTTTTTTAAGATTTTCACCTTAATGAAAACAGCTCTTCAATTTTCTTCCTGTACAATCACATGACAAGAAATGAACTCTAGAGGGAGCTAAAACAGTTTCTTAAACAGTACTTTTAGGTTTACTTCACCGTATATCGATGTTGCCAACAGTATCCCCTACTTTCAAAGTCTAACGCTTATTCTAACTTTTGTTATTTCTGTGATAACGTTTAAATCAGTGTATCAAATGTGCCGCATCGAAAGACAATTCTAGTTTTATTTTAAAAAGACCTATAAGCAATACTCGGCACTTAAAAATCTTTAACACACAAACTTTTCAATAGATCAGTAAAACATGAAGATAAATGTTTTACTGCATTATTTTATGAGGTCACTTTTCATCTCTTACCATATAAAAACACTACGCTGTGAAATTTGACGCGTACTGTATGTTGATAAAGATAAAGTACTTTGTATGTTTTTACTTTTACAGTGACATTTTTCCTGTGTGGTACTTTAAGAAATTTGAACATGTGTTAAAGTTCTATTCATGTGTATCCCTGTGTTTTTTTTCTTGTTTCCGTCCAATGAGACCAGAACGTCCTATGCAAAAAAATTGAAGGGCATGCAATCAAAGCGACCACGAAGTGCTGACGCCAGGATGTTGCCGCTCCGGGCATCTGGTCAAGCCACTACAGATTGCCGTATTCACAGCATGCTGAGCCAGAGAGAAGCTCTGCGCTGCACGATACCGCAAGGGTACAGCGAATACAGAGGTAGACTAATCGACTTGATCCCGTTTAGGAAGTTAGTAATAATGAGACGCCAGCGACAGAGGTATTTATGGAAGCAAGGAATCACAAATCAGGTACAAAATGCATGAGGTTTTTTATATGATTTGTTACGCTTTTGAATAAAATCCGCGAATAACATTGTATGACGTTTTACACATTTCTGAAAGTTTTTTCTAGGACACAATTGAGACACAAGTGTTGGATTTGTCAGATAAAGATAACATTTTTTATTTTTTTATGTTTTATTTCAGTTGCGCTGAAAGTTTATCGGAAAAGGTCAGGTTAACCACATATTATTTTTCGAGCAAGTGTTAGCGATTTGAGCCAAACGGTAATGTATGTTGGTTACAAGAAGATGTTTATTCATCTTGTTTCTCACATATTACTAATCATTATTGGGTATTGAATAAGTATTTCGGAACTTAAAGGAACTCAAAACGGAGAAATGGTAAAACTAGGTGAAGTGTGCAATGAGAGAAATACCAAGAACACTTTATTTTTCAGTAGTCGACGATTGTTGGGTAATTGCGTTGGCTTCATTTAACTTTTTAGGCAACTATTTTTCTGTCACTGAACAGAGGCAAATGCAAATTTCATTTAATTTCGTGAGCACATACAGTATAAATCTGTGCACATACTGTAATACATTTACATTCATCTCCTGCTCCTCATTATAATCACGGCATATTGCCCGTGAAATGAATAAATGTGTCAAGTATAAACTCAAACTTGTTCACGTTTACCTTGCATTATTCCTGTGATAATTTCATTCCATATGTGAAAATGGTTTCGTCTTGATGATTTTTAACGTGCAAAAAAGGTTCCTGTGGTAATTCATCGTCATTTTCTACATAGAAAACCACGAACACTTGATGTAAAGACGTTTAAAATAAATATACTATGCACGTATACAGCAATTCTAGCTTACATATGACTTTGCAGTAAGTTTTGAATTACCAATTAGAAAAGCTGTCGCTGTTTGTAGAACTCAAAATTTAATTTAGAAAAATCTAGTATCGATTAACTCGTTTAATTTTTACTCTGGTTCTTCATTATTCGGTAACATTATTAGATTATTTCAACGTACCGTAAATGTGTGCCATGCTCAATTAAATAATTATAGTAGGTCTGCTTCACTTTTGCTAGTTGATATATGTTAATCTTATTAATATGTTAATATCGATTATTCAAATAATTGATCTACTGTACGTATAGAAAATGTAGACTATGTGTGTAAGTGGCATTTTAAAATAAAACTATAGATTATTAGATATTAATGTTTTTATATTTTTCACGTAGAGACATATTTACAAGAGAACTCGTCACAATGACATGATATATACAATATTATTTAAGTATGAGCCTGTGTGACAATGCTGTACTGTAAAATATTGACCAGATAAAAAGTACAATTATGTTTTGATTAAAGCAATATGAATCTCATAGGTGCCGGAGTCCTAACAAGCCGAGAACGGTGAACCGTATGTGTCGGTTTCAAAATGGTTTATGGACAGATTCTCCACAGGAGTGGGACAGAGGAGGACCTTGTTAACCTCAATATTGGTGGATTTAAACAGAAGGTAAACCAAAGCACTCTTCTGAGGTTTCCCCACAGCAGGCTTGGGAAACTGCTGAACTGTAAATCGGAGGACGCTATTCTGGAGCTTTGCGATGATTACAGCGTTGCTGAAAAAGAGTATTACTTCGACAGAAACCCTTGCTTTTTCCGGTACGTTTTAAACTTTTACTACACCGGGAAACTTCATCTGATGGAGGAACTTTGTGTATTTTCCTTCTGTCAGGAGATTGAATACTGGGGGATAACCGACTTATCATTGGATTCTTGCTGTAGCAATAAATACCAGGAGCAAAAGGAATATGCTGGAGATAAAGACTGGGACCAAAAGAGCGATGAGCAGCAGAGTTTTGATTCGTCTTTTGAAGAGCTTTCTGTCCTGGAGAAAGACCTTGAGAAATTTGAAGGCACGTGGTGTTCAGAGATTAGGAAAAACGTGTGGCTCCGGCTTGAAAACCCAGGATATTCGTTTTCTGCCAAGTTGATTGCGATTGCTTCTTTGGGTGTTGTCCTAACATCGATTGTGGCCATGTGTATTCATAGCATGCCTGAATTCCAAGTATTTGATGCTAATGACAAAGAAATTGAAGACCCTGTTCTAGCCGTTTTTGAGATAGTGTGTATTATCTGTTTTTCCATAGAATTCATAGTCAGGCTCACTGTGACCCCTTGCCCAAGGAAGTTTATAAGCAATCCCTTGAACATTATTGACTTTGTGTCTATTATTCCCTTCTATGCCACCTTAGCCATTGATAATGTGGATGAGGAGAATGAGAATCTGGAGAACGTGGGGAAAGTGGTCCAGATTCTGCGTCTAATGAGGATATTCCGTATCCTCAAACTCGCCAGACATTCTGTTGGACTTCGTTCTTTAGGTGCTACCTTGAGACACAGCTACCATGAGGTAGGACTGCTCCTTTTGTTCCTGTCCGTTGGGATATCCATATTCTCAGTTCTTGTGTATTCTGTGGAGAGGGATGATGAAGAATCGGAGATACAGACCATCCCTGTTGGCTGGTGGTGGGCTACTATCAGCATGACCACTGTGGGTTATGGTGACACGTATCCTGTAACTTTGCTGGGCAAGCTAATTGGCACTTTATGCATTATCTGTGGATTACTGGTAGTTGCCCTGCCAATCACCATTATTTTTAATAAGTTTTCTAAATATTATCAAAGGCAAAAAGTTATGGATGTGGAAAACTGCAATACAGAAGTAAAGACTCAAGATCCCGATCTTCCATACTTCAATGTAAGAGACTTGTACGCCCAAAAAATGCATTCTTTCATTGCTAGCACTTCTTCTGGAAGCAGCATAACTAGTGATTGCGATGAGACAGATGCTTCCAGTATTCAAGGCATTGAAAATGTTTGTAATGCTGACACTCTGGAAAACAGTTCAGCAAAGCATCCAGTTTGAGCTTCTACAATAACTTTACAATAACTAAGTAAAGCACTTTACAGGTCTCAGGGCTATTTATCAATAGATCTTAATATTGCTTCCTGACATTATCAATAACACTGCACATGACTAGGGGGTCTATCTGTTATGCATTAGGTAATGACTGAAATCTAAAAGAAAAAATAAATTCAGCTTGGTAGCTTCATCAAAGTCTCTTTTGACAGTGTGTACTGAATATCCAGAGTTTTGAACAAAGAAATTACAGAGAATGGATTATTTATTTAATGAAATATATTGTTAAATATTTATATACTGCCTGGTGAACAAATAAAGTATTTTATCATACAGAGAGCAAAAGAATAAAAACACAGATGACAAAATGGCATGATAGTGCTTTGTGTCACACACTGGTTTTGGAAGAGACAAATACATGCATGATCTGATCGAGACAGCATGGTATGGAAATGCTGATTGAATAAAGTATGATATACAACAGCAATAAATTGTGCCTCCTTATTATTAAATCAATACCCTGAATCAAGAAGAACAGTGATATCTCTTATATATTGCAGTAAGACCTTGGATCGACAAACTTCATTAATGATTGTGAGACAGAATAAACTAGAAATGCATTGAATAACATTTATATTCTGTTAAAGTGTTATTGCAAACACATCAAAACACACATGAAGGATTTCGTACAGAAAGATGCAAACACATTTAAGCTTTGACTGCATCTCCAGATGGCCCGGAAACCACAAACAGTGAAGTATGTACTGTATATTGTTTTGCACACAGTAAACACACACATGGAACAGCCAGAGTTGGGACTGTAATATTTAATATTACACTTTTGTACTTACAAATAAAGAGTAAAACAAGGAAATATCACCCACTGAAATAAATTGGGCGGAAAAAAACACACAAAACACAAGATGTACACTTTTTTGTACTCGATGGTCTTTGTTGGGTTTTCACTGATATACTGTACTGTACATAGGCATGAGAGGTTGGAAAAGACAGTGAACACAAATTTCTCCTACACATTTGGCTTGAGCCTATGACCTGTCATGTTTACATATGGTTCTTATAATATATGACCTGTTTTGCAGTATATATATAGTATATGTACTGTTTAAGCGTAATTTTGTACTTCTTTGGAAGAAATTTAATCTAATACAAAGTCATGTGAAATTGCAAAATGAAAGTGGATATTTAGATTTTCTTCAATGAGTTCTAATGATAATGTATGGTTGTACAATGTACATAATTGTACAATACCTGTAGAGATATAGAAAAGAAAGGTGTTCTGTTTACAATACTGTTGCATCAAATATCTAATTTGTATTGTAATGGATAGATTATCGTCAGGAGCCCATGCTTTTCACGGGACTCCTTTAATGTAGAATAAGAGGTAGACATGCTGCTGCAATACAAAGAAAATAATAAACCAGAAAATACAGACATTTCCCTCAGCTCTTTCTATTTGTTCTATCTCCATTTTCTATTTCTATGAACCTGCCAGTATGTCTTTGGACTGTGGAAGGAAACTGAAACATGCAGAGGAAACCCACACAAACAGAGCAAACATACAAACTCCACGGGGATAGCACCTGAGGAACTAGAAATCAATCAATCAACCAGCCAATCAATCAACCAACCAGCCAGTCAACCAATCAATCAAAGTTTATTTACAGCATGCAGCAGTAGTTGCTGGCAATGAAATGTCTTTTCTACATGCTCACGGGGGGGGGAGGTAAAAATCACAAAATTAAGGGTACGTAATAATGTAAGTTGCATTAAATAATCTAAGACAAAACTCAATATAAGTAGAGCTGCTACATGTATGTGTCCAGGGTGTATGCAATATATTATGTCCAAGTGGTGCAGTATGCCAAATACTATGAAAACTGTATGTCCATGTACAGTAGCCATTATGGGTGATTTGCTGAAGAAGTGGCAGGTTGGCTATTTAGCAGTCTTATTGCCTGGAGGTAGAAGCTGTTCCGTAGTCTGTTGGACTTTGACCGAATGCTTTGGTGCTGTTAACCGGATGGTAGGAGGGAATACAGTTTATGACTGGGATGACTGGGGTCCTTGAGAATGGACCTGGACTTCTTAAGACATCTAGCTGAGTGGATATCCTGGATGTTTGGTAGCTCACAGCCGGTAGTGAGCTGTGCTGACTTCACCACCCTCTGCAGCAATTTGCGAATTTGTAAATTTTTGCTATTATTATTACCATTGAAATGTTTGCTATTATGGTTTAAGATAAGATTTATTTGAGTAAATATGACTAAAGTTTGCTGAAAGACAGGCTTAAAAATGTAAAAAATATATAAAGGTTACAGAAGTGAGGAGGTTATTCGGCTCATCTAGTGAAAAAAATGATCTGTATTAATGATGTTCAAAGTTGTTATAATACTAGAAAATGGTAGTGGAGTCTCAGAGTCAATTATTAAAATTCATAATATACATTTACATGTCATATATTATAACTCAAGACTGTCTTAAATTTGTACAGTAGTGTATGTACAAATATGTGTAATGGTACAGTACATTTGTGTATTATTCAGATATGAACTCTGAATATTATTACAGCATATTATTACATAATGTTAATGGCAAGAATACAAAGGACGAAATCACTCTAGCTGTTTCACGACACTCTTGGATGATTTCCTACTGAAGACAATTTTGTCATATCATTTACCGCATCCATAAAATGGTTCTTACGTCTTTTTACTTGCTATCCAGATTAATATTTTATCAGCAAATGTCAGATCAATACAAAATACAGGGAGAAAGCTGGAGACTGCCATTCCAGAACAACAGAACTTAATCATGCGATATAAGGTTTCCTTAAATGGCCTATTAATAGTCTGATTTGTTTTTAAGAGTCCATCCATCATGTGAAGTTTGGGGAGGGCATGCTGGAAAAGAAGTGCTTAATCAGGTAATAAACCAAAATGCCATTCAAACACTGAGTAATTTATCCAGTGGGTAATCTGTTGTTTTACAGGATGTTTAATCACAGCTCTGTATGACAGGTATCTCTGTTGTGTTATCACAGTATATTATACAAAAACAACAATGTGCAGATCGGCTACAAGTCTGGTATGTTCTTCCTCCTGTACAGTACAGTATGTTTCTGTTAAAGTCACTATCACCAGCATGAAGTGATTCGTCTTAGCTTCATTGCTACCTCTGCTGTGACAAGCACATACTGTAAGTACAGAGTTTTTGTTGTGTTCAATGTGAATGTTCACTGGGAATACCACTAGAACTCTAAGACACATGTTTCAGGAATAGCCACACCTTCAGGTTCTCATGCCAAGCACATTTCTTGATCACCTTTGGAATAGGATACATTGATTTAATAAAGATTTAAGAACATGAGAACTGTTGCATGTACTAGGAAGCCATCTAAGTCGGTTTAAGTTGGTACAGTAGCTAATTGGTCTAAGGATCTCATCCAGCTGTTTCTTGAAAGAAGCAATGATATGATCTTCAACAACATAGCTTGTTGTGCAAAGAGCAGCCTCCTTTTCTTAGTTTTAAATGCCCTCCAGTATCCTTTGGTTTGGGGTTCACTGTTCATTCTGAAGAAAATTGGCCCTCCTTTGAGTGTGCTTGTCTGTGTTTGTCCGTGATGCAGTGGTATCCTGTCCAGGCTGTATCTGTCACGCCCTCTGCAGCCAGAGGGCGCTCCTTCTCTGTCCTGTCCCTAGTTTCCGGTCTGCTGTCCTTCCGGTCCCTCTCTTTCCCTTGGGCTTATATTTCCGGGTCTTGCACCC